ATGAAGATATTCCTGGCATAATGTGCGCCTGTCAGCATGACATGGGCGCAGCCATTTTCTTAAAAATGTGACGTATCTGTTGAAGTTGTACATGTATCATGCACCAAGCTTTAGTTGGAAAGAATTTTTAAATCAATAACGAAACCTTTACTTTTCAATGAAAAAAAATAACAACTGAGATGATAGAAATTATATTAGGTGAAAAATAAATAACAGGGACACAATTGTAACAAATTAATTTATAAATACTACACTATAACAGTTGACAAATCTATTTCATTTATGAGAAACCTTCAACCTAGAAGAGCACTAACTAATTTATGCAATTTGCGTTCTGGCATTTATAGTACAAAGGATAATAGCAGGTGAATGAAATGCTTCATCACCACACACGTCTGGAAAAGAAGCATCCATAAATTTGAATACATTAACTTGATAAACGACTTCGCATAGTACGTCACATTATCAAGAAAATGGCGATGCCCATGTCGTGCTGAGAAACTGTACTTTATTTTTGCTTTATACCTCTCTCATACACGTTGATGGGGAATCTTTTAGATGTATGGGTAATAACATAATAAATCTCTCAGAATAAGTAAAGTTATTACTTGGGGTTCGGTTTCCTTTAATAGTTTAAATTATTAAATGGGAAAGTATTAATAGTATATATGGTATAACGTAATGGTGACGGCAAACTTTTTTAACATTGAAATATATTGCAATAATTTGTTTTGATATTTATACCATACTTTGTTTTAACTTTAACCTAATACTATGTGTTATTGCGTACAAATGTCAACTACATGTATATATATATATATTTTAATTGTGGGTTTTTGTTGTTGTTTGTTTACAATAGTTTTAATTATAAACTGGGAAAGTATTTAATTGTATACATTTTATAATTACTCAATGGTGACGGTAAACTTTTTTTAACATTGAAATATTCGCAACAATTTTATAAATATCTATAGCATACCTTATCTTAATTTGAACTTCGTATACTATGAAATGTACTGTATCGCCTTTTTATTGCATGTCCGAATTATCTCTCATATTATAATGTGCATTTATTGTTGTTTTGATTGACATTATTATTGAACCATGTATGTTGTAAAGGGCCCTGATGAAAACCAGCTCATGCTGATCGGGCTACCCTTTTTAAAGATGTGAAATAAATAAATAAATAAATAAAACCTGGCTCTGCTAAGCAACCATTTTAGGTGCTCACACCATTCAAGGAATACCTTCCAAACTCCTGGGTGGACTCAATGGAGACTGACATATTAAAGGTACTATGTCCCATTTGTAGGCCAAAAAAATGAAAAGGTTAAATTCCAACGGCATTTGAAAGATAATACTAATTAAGAACTTCCCTAAAAAAAGAGGGCCTTGAAAATGTCTTTCAGTGGAAAAAGAACGACTATTAGTTGTCGAATCGACTTAAAAGCTATAGAGCCAGTAAGTAATAGTCTGATTTTCAGACCATCGTACCAAATGGTCGTACGTTTTATGCTGCGCAAAGATTCAATAAGTTTAATTTTGGCCATTACAAGAAGTGGGTTATTGATGTAGACAAATGCTACCTTTACAGCTCATTTTATGTATGTTATTACCAAAGAAGGAAAAAAAGTCAGTCAGTCAGTCACTCAATAGTGTCTGACAGTGAAGTCTAGCAAGTTAACAGGTTTTCTTGCATAATTTGAATATTAGGACACTGCTAACATTTACATTTCACAGATAGGGCATACATGACATATTCATAATTCCTGCAAAGTTCTACAGACTTTGATGTTGGCTGCAAAAGGGGCATAGTATCTTTAATCTCTTGCCAAAGGACATTAGTGCAGCGGCCGGAATCAAACCGCGAACCACCCGATTGACAGTCCAATGACGGTTCCACTAGACCACGACACCTCTACAAATACAAAGATGCTTGCACTGATTGGGTGGAAACTCCCTATTAACCCTTACTGTACTGGGCTATTTCGAGCACTCTCTGACTGGGGGGGGGGGGGCCTGGGAGGCCCCCCCCCCCCCTATGATCTCGGTCGTCGAATGTCCGATGAACGCGAAAATTTGCATGTTTGTAGATATTTACGTAAGGAACAAGATGGTATAATTAGTTTTTTCCTAATATGCAAATTTTTTTGTTGTTATAGCCTAATTAATTATGCAAAATGCTAATTTTATGCATTTTACAGAAAACTCTACATATTTGTCAGTAGACTTGAGAAGAATCTTGAAAATGTATTGAATAAATGTTTCCTTCATCTCAAATTCATGGGGTTTCATTATTTTTATGATATTTGAAAATGTATAGGTTAATTTGCATAAATTATGAATATGCAAATTACGCATTCATGAATATCTAATCTGGAAATATACAGGGAACTAGAATCATTACAAAAAAAAAATTATTTTCTTATGTATTTCATTGTTTTTTATTTGTTATTATATCTATTGTTTTATTTCTAATGTATTCTTTTGTTCTGAAATACATCAAGTTACTTTGAGAAACATATAAAAGCAATTTGATATCAATTCATATCTTCACATTTCTGCTTGTACATGAATATATGCAATTATAGCACTTTTTTGATGACATGCGCATACTAATTGTTATGTAACACCTTACAGGTATATCCGATTTCGACGAAAATGGTATCAAAATGTGCATAAGACTTGAGGGGAAAAAGTCATGAAACGACAATTCGAAATTCCGAGCGGTGGCGGCGCGATCTCCGAAAATGTCGAGGGGGGGGCCTCCCAGTACAGTAAGGGTTAACCATGTGACTAGTCCAAAAAAGAACTATTAGGATGTAGTAAAGAGGTACAGACGGACAGCGAGAGAACAGGGAGGAATAACATTTAAAGTGACTCGGTAACATTGTTGAAGGTTGAGGAAAAACTTCATAATTTTTGTATGAAATGTTAGTTATTATATTCCTTCTACTGTACTAACCATCAAACATGCAAAAAAATCCTGAAAACTTCTCAAACCAGAAAGATATTGATGTTTTTTTTTTAAGGCGTCACTATGCAACATCTTCTAACAGTAAATTCTCACAACCATTTTTGAATTTTCCTACCCGTTTTTCCATGACAATAAGATGTAATACATGCTTTTAAAAATCTGTAACACTTAAAGTGGCATGTTCCCCGTATTCCAGAGGGCGTTCAAAATACGTACCCGCTGGCGGACGGTGCTAGCTGCCTATTGGCACCAACAGAATACGGCTCTTACGCAGATGGCATGTTCCGAATGCCCGCACAATGCCGATTATTGCATACATGTGCCAAAGTAATACCAATCGCAGTTCGGTTCTAAGATTCAACTGCTGTTTCCGCCCACTTTCGTGACGTCAGGATCGGCAGCGATCAGCTGCCTTGACGAAGGCAGACCAGGCCGCGCGTACTTTGATTGACAGCTGTATGCAAATTAGAAGTCGATCTTCGGAACCACGATGGCGATGACTAGAGCAGCAATAACTACAATGGCGGGAACGTGCCCCTTTAAATGATTAAAATGCTATATAGAGCCATTTCGTTGCTTTGTGACGATTTACATTCACCTAAAATGTAATTAAATTGTAATGATATAGTTGGGAAAATCGAGGAGTCAATCAGATCCAGTTTTTCCCAATCTTTATCATTAATAATGGTTTGTTTTCACTCAACCTTGCATTGAAGTCACTACCTTAGCATCATTTTCTCTCATCTGCACAATGTTACCAAGTCCCTTTAAGACATTCCAAATACGAATTACAAAAGTCTTACACATATCACTACTCGATACAACATTTGGAATATAACAAATATTGAAGCACCTTTAAACATACTTTTCAATGAAAGGTTATACATACCTTATACATGCCTTTCAATAAAACCATTCATGCATTCCACAAAAATATTACGGGTTAAAGTAAAGGCCATCTCAAACTACCATTCCTCTTGTAAAAAATGAGTACAATGATGAGAAGTAACATCAATTATTATATATATGAGGCTTCCAAGTGGAACAATAAATCGGTGTATTCAATATCTTTGGCGCAGTACCCGGATGACCGACCAATATTGTTTAGTATTGCTAAGTCATCTGAGAACTTCAACTATTGATATTGATATTATATCGATATTAAACAACAAAACAAAGCTATATTTACCGAGGTAAGTCAAATCTTGTTATTTTGCTAGTCAGATAATATAGATAATAATAATATTGTATGGCTTTGTTTTCATGTGATTCAAGAATATATTGCTCTCTCTAAGACAATATTAGACTCGTCTTTGACTCGTCCAATATTGTCATAGTTCGAGCAATATATTCTTGTATCACACTCAAAGCCATCAAATATTTTATGTGTATTTTTGCACCTGAATTGGTCACTGACGGGTGCTTATCTCCTCAAATCAGCTCTCAATTAACATAAGAAAAAGGGAACCATGGCGGACCAACGGTCACCAATAAGGCATTGTTTGCTATATCGATCGAGGGCTCAGTGCAGCGGTGCTTTTACATTTGATGTTAGTACATGATTGTAGCAATACTGCATCTCAATAAATCAGTTCAACTTTCCTCTTCACTTGATAAGATTGGCAGATATAACACTGTCCTTCATTATTTATAATCAATCACTCAACAGTTTGTGATTGTAACTTGCAAACTTCCAATATCATGCATGAAAATTGAGAGAATTGTCAAGTTTGGATTAAACATGTATAGGTACACCAATTAGATATGTCCGAAAATAAGAAAGCAACTTGAACATATAGGAAAAATTCAGACTTATGTTGTTAGAGTACAGAGAAGCATTTCCATTCTGTTAAAAGGCATGGTGTATCTTTCATTAAAGAGAAGGTTGAGTTCTGGGAAGAGGTAAAAAATAATTGGTGAGCGTTATCATTGTTATTATGTACAGTGCTTGTAACTTTGCCAAGATTTGGCAAAATTTCTTATCATTTTGATGATTCCAGAACCTTGCAATATACACGAATACTTATATACTAGATGATCAACCTTTTCTGATAGATTCCACACCGTTTCTTTCACAATGCAATCACATGACTAGAACTCAACTTTATCTTTAATATCATGCACAAGTTTGTTAATTTCTATACATTTTAAACACTTTGTTTAACACAATGGACGTAGATCAGCTTCACACAGATCCAACACTCTCTCTTATCCAATTTCCAATGTGTTTCAATGGTGAGGGTTTACCCCCATTTGAGTTATTTGAGTTGGCGTTTGGCGACCTGGCCCGCTTATTCTGGCTGACCCCAACCGTGACCTCACCTGACCTCTTGCGTGTCAATCTCAATGGAGGGCTGACCTCTGTCTGCTTGTCGGGTGAAGATTGGCCGTCCATGGGTTTCTCGGCGTCGTCGCTGGAGCGCCGCTGGGTTGCGACACTGGTGATGGTGGTCACATGGGTGGCAGAGAGTGCGCTCTGATTGGTTGATGAGGTTGTGACATCGTGAGATGAATTCTTGGCATCTAGTTTCTCTTGAAGACGTGCCGCCTATTGTTAAATATACAAAACAGTATATTGATGAGGTCCAGAGAAGAACATGTTTTCATTCTACATTAAAGGTAATGCAAAGTTTCAGGAAATTTAGAAAATTGGCTGGATAGTGATTCTTTACAATTTTGATATATATTTGGATGCCCATGTAGATGTTTTATAAGCACTACAAAATTTAGCCTCTTAGACACTCCTGCTTTCGAGAAAATTTTTGATTAATTTCAAATAGCACCTACGGCCGTACAATGGAAGCTGCGACCATGAAAATCTCAGAATATGTAGTTGTGATATACATGTATAAATTCCAAACAGGAATGGCCAATCGGTCAATTTTAGTCAAGAAACATTGTTTTATAAACTTGGCCAATATCTTGACCTTTAGAGGGAGCTATACAACATAAAGCCCTTATTATTTACAATTTTATCACTTTACACTCGATTTCAATCGCGACAACGATCACTGAATATTGTAGGATCGCATATGCTTCCAATATGTTCATTTGAACCATATTCATGACCCCATACCAAAACTTTGTAATACCTTAAAATCTGGTAATTCTCAAAGCTACACTATCCTTGGTGTCGATCATGATATACACATAACATACTTTTGTTAGGTGATGTTTTTTATTGCATTCACAGGGCTGACAAAATTAAACTTCCCAGATTATTACCATTATCCTTTCTCAGAAGTTTGATCGCTCTAGAATGTATATAAATAATATATTGGGGTCATGTTGCTGCCTACACGTATGGCGACCCTGTTACGACACTTGCCAACTAAAACGACATCTGTCAACTAAAGCAACACTTTGAAGTCTATCATCGCGATCTTATCGCCAGTACATCTCTAGCCCTCTATCATCAGAAGAGCTCCCTACGCAGTTCCTGGAAGCACGTGTCCTTTTCAGGACAAGCCATCAAGATGATGGCTGACACCTCGACCTGCGTACTCCAACTCAACGCTGAAGGCCTTACCCGCTCAAAGCGAGATCTGATTCCCCATATTGCAAAGGAAAATTGTGTCAATGTTATCTGTCTCCAAGAAACACACTGTGAGACAGAAGAACAGCTTCACATCGAAGGTTTTGACCTGATCTGCTTCATACCACACAAGAAGCATGGTATTGCATCCTATGTCAAACAAGGCATTAAAGCATCCACCACTGGGCGATCTCCTGCGAACTCAGCTCTACAGTGGAGCACCTTTGAAGCTATGGGAACCCACTTCTGCAACTTGTACAAGCCACCACCGGTAGATGTTGAAATCATGCTCTTCCCAAAGATGCCCCGGAACTCCTTTGTCTGCGGAGATTTCAACAGTCGCAGCACTGCCTGGGGATACCCTAACACAAACAAGAATGGAAAGCTCATTTTTGAATGGCTTGAATCTCAGGAGCTAGTGATACTGTATAACAGCAAGGACAACCCCACATTCTACTCAGGGAGCCACAAATCATGGACCTGCCCCGACCTGTCACTGGTCTCATCAAACATCAGACACACCTGCTCAAGAACTGTCCTTCCAAAGTTCCCGAGGTCTGGCCACTGTCCAATCATCATCTCAAGCGACATCAAGCTTCAACTCTCCAACCTACCAAAGAAGAGATGGAATTTCAGAAAAGCTGACTGGCCCAAGTTCCAGGAACTCACAAACAAGCTAACATCTCGGCTGCCAGACCCCTCCACCAGCAATGTGAATGACTCCTACTCTGCTTTCTGCTCCATGTTACATCAGGCGGCAAAACTCTCCATCCCCAGGGGCAGGAGACACCCGTATATTCCATGCTGGGATGAAGAATGCGACCGTCTGTACGAATCCTACACTAAGTCCAAGACCATTGAAGAAAGAGAAGCTGTAGGGAACGACCTGCTGATATCACTAGGAGAAAAGAGGAAGATTAGATGGGAAGAAGAAGTCTCTGAGATCAACTTCACTCACTCTAGTCGCAAGGCCTGGACTACCATCAACAAACTCACAGGTCGAAGCAACGCTCCAAAACAGTGTCCTGTTACTGCAAACTCCATCGCTTCAGTCCTAGTTAACAATGGAAAGTGGCAAGGTAAAACCACTGAGGCCAAAGTCCACTCTCGCTCGGTGAACTCTGAGATAAAGAACCTCCTCAAATCCACTCCAGAGTCAACCTCCATGTCTGAAGCTTTCACCTTGGATGAGGTTGAAACTGCACTGAAATCAATAAAGTCCGGCAAAGCACCAGGCAACGATAACATCCACACAGAGTTCCTCAAGAACATGAGTCGCAAAGCTACTTCCTGGCTACAAGCCTTTCTCTCTACCTGCATGATAACATTCACTATTCCATCAAAATGGAAGACCGCTAAAGTTATTGCCATTCTGAAGCCGAAGAAGCCTGCAGACGAACCCAAGAGCTACCGTCCAATCAGCCTGTTATCACACATCTACAAGCTACTTGAAAGGCTGCTACTTGCCAGAATTGTTGACACTGTCGAAGAGAAGCTACCTACTACACAGGCAGGCTTCAGGAAAGGAAAATCAACCACCGACCAAGTAGTCAGGCTTGTTAACGACATAGAGACAGCCTTCCAGAAGAAGCAGAAGTTTGGTGCAGTTCTTGTTGACCTTACTGCGGCATTTGACACAGTATGGCACCGTGGCCTATACCTCAAGACCCTGCAGACCATTCCAGATGTAAGAATTGTGAAATTTATCATGCTGCTTGTACAAGACCGGTCATTTGTCCTTGAAACATCAAACGGCGAATGCAGCAGGAAGAGGAAACTCCGCAATGGTGTGCCGCAAGGCTCTGTCCTCGCTCCGATACTTTTCAACATCTATGTCTCTGATATGCCCAAGGGGGAATGCATGCAGTACTCCTACGCAGATGACACCGCACTGGGGTTCAACAACCACTCCTTTGAGGCAATCGAAACATCACTGGACAAGGACCTGAAGATGCTAGCCGAGTTCTTCAACAGATGGCATCTCAAGCTGAGCATACCAAAGACTGTATCCTCCGTCTTCCACCTGGCTAACCGATGCGCCAACCGAGAGCTGAATATCTCACTAGATGGGTCTAGGCTGAACTTCGTCTCAACACCAAAGTACCTAGGTGTCACTCTTGACCGAAGCCTCACCTTCCACGAGCATGCCAAAGCCACAGCTCAAAAGACCCAAGCCAGAGTGTCTCTCCTAAAGAAGCTTGCAGGGACCGGATGGGGAGCCAATTTCACCACCCTCCGCACCTCCACTCTAGCTCTTGCCTTCTCCACTGCCGAGTATGCTGCACCTGTATGGAGCCACAGCACCCATGTACACAAGGTTGATGCTGCCCTCAATGATGCTATGAGACTAATCAGCGGAACACTCACTGCAACACCTGTCAGCAACCTGCCAATATTATCTGGCATACCACCAGCTCAGTTCAGACGAGATGCGCAGTACACTAAGCTTGCCCAAAAGCATGACAGAGATAAATGCCTTGTTCCTGCCCCCTCTGCCTTTGAAGGTCAGCGTCTCCCTAGACGACACTTTGCAACACAGGCTGCTGAGCTGCTGCCTGAGAAGCCTCCCTCCACCTTAGCCACTTGGATAGCAAAACGCTGGTCAGACCAGTGGAATTCGTCCACTACCAACCTGAAGGAGTTCATCCCAAAGCCCTGTGCCAAACCCAGTGGCTGCGACCTCCCAAGAAAAGCCTGGGTCAACCTAAACCGTATCAGAACTGGAGTTGGCCGTACACAACATTTCCTACACAAAATTGGAGCTGAATCATCACCAAACTGCGCATGTGGAGAGATCCAAACTATGGACCATGTCATTGATGTTTGTCCGATCTACAAATCCCCCCACGGCGCTTCCGGACTTCGCGAGCTCGATGATGAGACAATATGTTGGCTTAATAAGGATCTTCCTATCTAGATGATGTACTCCCTGATATTCTTTGCACGAACGAACGAAATAATATTTATTTATTTCGACCCGATTCATTACATGGCATTATCAACATGGCTTCTAAGGCCCCCCCCCCCCCCCACCCCTATGATCTCGGCCGTGAAAAGCCTGATCGCCGCGAAATTTTGCATACATGTCAAGTGAAGTGTATAGAATGCTATGATAATTTCAATTTTTTGAAAAAAATATTTATGGTAATTTATGCAAATAAGGTCATAAAATTCACATTTTTGCCCATAAATCAGACATTATTCATATTTAAGCATTCTTTCTCACTACATATATTTGTTAGACCATTTGGAATAATAATACAACAAAAAAATTGAAAAACCAGGGTTATTCCTTATGTTATCTATTGTTTTGATAATTTCTTATGTATTTCGTTGTTTTTTAAACTTATGTATTTTATTGTTTTTGTTGTTTTATTTCATTTCCAACTATAATTCAACTATTTTGACCTCCAAAATAAACACCTAAACTATTAACAAGACCAAATAACCAATGTTTTATCTCTTTATTTGAAAAATGAGATTTCCATATGTTTTGTACACAAATCACAAATTGAGCGATTTTCGGGCTGACATGCAAAGACAAAAGGACACGTGACTCTGTAATGGTAGGTCCGATTTTCGAAAAATTTCTTTTAAAAGATGCGCAAGACTCGACAGAAAAAAGTCACAAAATTTCAGTGCAAGATTTTCTTGCGTTAAAAAATTATCGCGAAAAATGTCGAGGGGGGCTTCTAAAGCCCCCCCCCCCCCCCCGGCTAAATAGGGTTAATGATCTATAATTGAAATTAAAAATGAGGATGACCAGGCGTTTTGAAAAGGTATCCTTAATTCAAATGGAACAAATTCTTTTTCTTTGTAGATACCTCATTTAAACAATTTTAGATCTCCTTTGACTAAAGATGATTCCTACAAAGTTTGGTTAAAATCTGGCCATGCATTTTTAAGAAGAAGTCATCAATGTAAACCAGATGGCTTTTTTTTTCTTGGGGATGGGGTGTGCTACTCCCAAGCCCCCTACCCCTGGAGGGGTCAGAACAATTCCATATCCCCCTGCCTAAGGAATGCTTCCTATCAAGCTTAGTCCAAGTCTATACATCAATTTCAAAGAAAAGGTTTTAAAAATGTATAATTACTGCTATAGGAGCACTTTGCGGGAATGCTGCCCTAAGGCCCCTCAAAGTATACCCCATTTGAAGAGCTTTAGGTATACCTTTCCTGCAGGTGATTCCTTTAAAAATTGGTAAAAATCTAGTTATGAGTTTTCAGGAAGAAGAAGAAAATGAATAATTAATGCCACTTAAGAATTTTGGTGGTGCTGCCCCCAGACCCGCATGGGGATATGTATCCCACTTGAACAACTTTTGATCTCCTTTGCCTAAGGATGGTTCACACCAAGTTTAGAGGGGGGGGGGGGGGGGTGTTGAGTAAAAAACAAAATTGTGCTTCATCCATTTAAAAGTATAAGAGCATGCACAGGTGACGCCAATACTCCAAAATAATTATAATAAATACACACCTCCTGATCGATGAACTTGAATTGCCAGGGCCATTTAGCATTGTAGAGGAACTGTCTAAGATCAAAGCGATTGTCATCTGGGCTGTAGGACTCAGCATGGCACGAGGGTGTCAGGGTAGTCATCTTGTGGCGGTTGATAGAGTAGGAACGGAAGAAGTGCTTAACTTTGTCAGCAACCTAACAAAAACAATCATGTTGATGAAAATTATTACATCCCGCATAATAAGAATCTTGCAATCTGATTGGTCTAAACGAGGTCACATGATCAGTACTCTCTGCGATAGGACTTTTGTACCGTAATTTTTTGCTGCTGCCCCACTTGCCCACCCTTGCCCACTGAATAAGCATAGCAACGTAGGTTACGCGAAATGTCAATGTCAATGTCAAATGAGCGTGCATCGACTTTATTACATGTACCGGTATGCATCTTGTGCTTTGTAAATTCTAGCTTAAGCTAAACTGTCTGCAGAATCAGTTCCTTTAATTATGTAAAATTCACTTTAAATAGATCTTATTGCCGATGTGGGATCTAACTTAAATATTAACCTCCTTTACTCCGGCAATGGATACAAACTATCATCGCCTCAGTGATCTCGGGCTACCATCATCCCTCGCCGCAACGATTAATATTTGCTTATTGATAATATTGACAATTCTAACCCTACAAATGATCAACAATTAGAAGTTGAATTACAGTAATAGATTTAGATGAAATTATTGTAATGTGTTCAATTATAGGAGTTTTATTGTCATAATTATTGTCATTTGTAATTATTGATTTTAAATAGTTCTAAATTGAGCGGTTGATAGAGTAGGAACGGAAGAAGTGCTTCACTCTGTCAGCAACCTAACAACAAATTTGATGATCATTTTGTTATTATTTCACTGTTTACATGGCTCTGCTCCGCAATACAACATTGGCTTGATCAAGCATTACATTCCCTCTAGACAGCTACGCTCTCAAAACTCTGGCTTACTTGTTACTCCTAGGGTTAAAACAAAGTGGGGAGAGCAATTCTTCGCTGATGCTGAGCCTTCATTATGGAATACACTCCCTCAATGGATTAAAAATAGCAGTTCTGGTGAAGTGTTAAAAAATAATCTGCAGAAATATCTGTTTAATTTAACCTATAATTGATTACCATTACCTTTCATGTCCGCACCTTTTTGTATTGCACTTTTGTATATATATTTATGATGCATTGCATCTTTCGCACAAGCTCCGCCTTGAGCATTTGATTTTCAAGTGGATTTGGCGCCAGACAAATCTTAAATATTAATATTATTATTATTATAATAATTATTACTAATGACAATTCTAACCCTACAAATGATCAACAATTTAAAACGATTATTGCTAATAATAATCACAATGACCATTACTATGACAATACTGCTCCTATGATATGCAATAGTGTGACTGCTACCTTCAAATTTGTTGCGTACTGCTGGGTACAGCTGCCTATTGATATACCCCGCATACCATAACAATACGCAGCAATATACGCAAACGTGTGACTGAGGCATAAGAAACAACTTGTGCTTGTAAATGAGGACCCTAATAAGGTAAACACAATACAAGTCAACGAGAAGAGTAGCATCCCCTTTTGCAAGGTACAAATGGCCTATATATGTCAGAACAAGTTACCTCCATTGGACTATACTATTATATTACTAGGCAAGGAAGTTAACCACATTTTCACATATATAATAAGATGTTTTTTAATATTTAATGAGCTATGACCTTTCACCTTTGATCTACATACTCAGAAATCGAACTTAGACTGTACATGTATTTTTGATACCAGGCACCTTCATATTAAAATTTTGTCAAATGTTACTCAAGTTATCGAATGGAAACCAGATTTGCATATTTAATGAGCTATGACCTTTGACCTACATACTCCGCAATCAAACTTAGGTTGTGTTTCGATACCATGAACCTTCATATCAAATTTCATTAAAATCCGTCAAACATTACTAAAGTTATCAATAGGAAACCAGATTGTGTATTTTTTCGCATATTAAATGAGCTATGACCTTTGACAATTGACTGATGTACTCCAACATCGAACTTAGCCTGTATTTTGATGTCATGTACCTTCATATCAAATTTCAATAAAATCCGTCCAACATTACTGAAGTTATCGATCAGAAACCAAATTTGTTACGCACGCACGGAAGGACGGACGGCAGCGTTACTATATCCCCTCCGACTTCGTCGGCGAGGGGATAATAAAGGGTATAGACCAGTTTTGGAAACGCCCCCCCCCCCCCCTCTTATTACCAATCATGTGAAAGAATATGATTTGAATAATACGTGATGATACAAATTTTGCAGGGAAACCGCCTACTAATTGATATATATGGTAAATTATCATATCGATCCGGCTTGGATAGATATCGCGATGCACTTCAACATTGAAGATTTGGGCATATATTTCTGCTTTTTTGTTGTTGCGAATTTAGGTTGAAATATTGCCATCTAAACCTCTGAAGGCAATATTTAAACAATATTGAATGGACATTTTGCACCCAAAACTCGCAATATTACCAATACCGGTCTATATCTTTAAGTTAAATTGCAAAAGAAATTAACCTTACAAAGTATATATAAATAAATGTTTAGAAGGAAGAAAAAGACTGACCATTAACTACAGAAGGTATCAACCGCCTATATGAACATATACACAATCACACACAAACGCACAAGAGCAATACAAAGAAAGAGGAGAGGTGATAATGAGAAAGAGAAGAAAGGGTCTACTCAATCAAAGATGACATCGTTTTAGAAATGTAGCCTTTTAATTGAGTTCTAAAAACGAGAAAGTAGGTAGTCTCAAACACAATTTTCCTGATCCATCTTCAATCACGTAGATAATTCACTTACGTAGCCGACAGACAGGTGACAGACAGAAATTTTCCTGCGAAAAATCATGTGATAAGGGAGAATTTTCTTGGTTCGTTGTAGGATTTTCCGGGGTTTTTTCGGCGGGATTTTAAGCAGGATAATTGATGACAGAAAGCGAATTATCTAGATAATTGGCCTCTGTCTGACACCGCCTAATCTGGAGCAGGATTTAAGGTAATATACACCATGAACATGACGGACAAAGAAAGCGGACAAAATATACAGTTCCTCATTCTACCCTCAACAATTGCTGTGGTAGACAAAGGATCATCCCTTCACTGCTATTATGTAAAAATGTGTAGAACAGGTGTCACATGCATATTCACCTGTGCTACTTATGTCTGTATATTTTGTCCGCTTTCTTTGTCCGTCACGTTCATAGTGATAATCACAAATAGAATAATTCCATTATCATAAATATCAACTTACCTGTGTAGGGGAACAAGACTCCTTCCATTCGTTGACTAGCTTCATGAACATGCTGTACGGTCCACAGAGACTGATCTTCCTCAGACGTCCAAAGATGGATAACTCGCTGTACGTCATTCCCATGTCAACCTGAAAATGTTGTAATAAATGTATTAAACGTTTAGACTAGGTTTTGAAATGCCCCCCTTTTAAAAAAAGAAATGGAAGCTCTTATTATTTAACCTGTATTAGTGTAGTCATCAAAATTTAATTAGATTACTGTACTTTTACATAATTTGCCTTCATTTCTCTGTAATTGAGGTTTATGATTGATTATTATTAATCTTGTCTTTATTTTGATATTTCTTTAGTTCATGAATTAGTACACTGTACTTAAATGTAATTTTGTTGTTTTCATATTGTAAAGCGCATTGTTATTTTCTTTGAAGATGAAATGCGCTATAGAAGCCTAGATTATTATTTTTGATATTATTACCAATCGTGTAAAGGAATATATGTTTTGACGAATATGTGATGATACAAATTTTGCCCGCAAACCGCCTACTAATTGATATATCTGGTAAATTATCATATCGATCTGGCCTGGATAGATATTGTGTAGTCCCATATACAGCTTTCTGTGTACAGTGCTTGTAACTTTACCAAGACTGGGCCAAATTTCTTATCATTTCGATGGTTCCAGAATCTTGCAGTACACACCAATACTTATATGCTAGATGATCAACCTTTTCTAATCGATTCCACAACGTTTCTATCACAATGCAATCGCATGACTAGAACTGGTCTATACCTTTAAAGACACACAGAAGTGGGCTCTCATGGGGAATTCAACACCATTGGGGTGATTACCAAATAGCTAACAGGTGTTGTCAATCACCAGAATTAGCCGTTAGTTTTATGTAATTCCATGCCTTTTCCCTATATAAAGGTAAAGTCATTATCTGCCATTTGCATCATTTGAAGACTACCTTCTAGGCATATTTTTTACAACGCGTTTTGAAAATTGTTAACGGTCGATACAATTCCACATAGAGGCAATTGCCTGTTCTAATCTTTTAAGAGGAGTTTTTAGTTGATATTATATCTTATTTACCATAAGATTTCCATAATTTAATATTTCCAGCCAGCAAATTGAACAGATTACCTTTAATGTACACATGGTCTACTCTGTTTTGTCGGGGGGAGGGTTCTCTCCCTCTCTCGCTCTCGCTCTCGATCTCGCAATAGCAAAATCAGAATTCAAAATCATCTTAAAGGCCATCTGTACAAGTGTGGACAGGAAGGATTAGACCACCCAGCGAGGTCACTGACAAGTGGCTATCTCATCAACTCAGCTCTCAATTAACATAAGAAAAAGAGGATCATGGGGGACCAACAGCCACCGAGTAGGGATTGTTTTCTATATAGAGGGCGCAAGAAGCTATAAGTAGTGCAGTGGGGCTTTAAAAGAATCTGACCTCGTCTGTTTGTGACACTTTGCCGGCCTCCAATGGCTCCAGTTCCGCAGTGGGTGGAGCATCCATTATCCTGTAGATAAATGAATTGAAATAAAGAGGCTCATTTATATAACAAATAACAAGATGCAACCTTTCATATTCTTTTTCATTTTTTAGATGTTTCTGCATTCATTGATAAATCAAATATAAAACATTCAATTAACAATAATAGTATATAATATAATTGATTTACATAAAGAGTGACAACTGAAATACACAAACATAAAAAAATGCATATTTATAAATATATATATATATATATATATATATTATTGAAAACTTGAAAGTATGGAGGTAAGTAAAAGGATCAAGATTAATGCAGAGGCCAACTATCATAAGCATGAATGCTTGAGTCGATATACAGTTGACAACTAAATTATTCACACCATTACCAAGTCTGGTAATTGTATTGGTATGTACAAAAATGATTTTTCCTGATTCATGTTTCTTGAGATGCCACATATTGAAGCTTGCATGTAAAAGTATTCAACAAACGCCCTACTTCAACCACCCCTTCTTTCATTCTTGAGTTACGAAAAACACACACAAAAAAATCAAATTTAAAGGGGTATGAATAATGCAGATGTGAACTTTATAATGGCAATGCACGTCATTTCTAAACGTGGTTTGTCATTCACAGTTCTGTCAATTAGTATAACAATACCAACCCATAAGGCATCAGATTATGATATAACACACAATAGAACTGGATGATTCGTAACAGCTGCACTGCTAAAGCCGGGGTAATTATGCTGCATTATTGTAGAGCGCTTAGAGACTTCTGACAAAGTAAGTGTTAGGCGCTATATAAGCACTGTAATTATTATTATTATTCTGTTATACATTCCCTGTCTTCATTTAAAACAAGGCAAACGACAAAAGTTGTCTCGTTTGCATCTTGCAATGTGAGTGAGAACGCAATACGCATTTAAAGGGAACCAAAACCTTCATACTAAGTTACTTTTATTGTAAAGTTTAAGATATTTGAATAAAATCAGTCAAAATATGAACAAAATCGGGCAAGGAATATGGAAGTTAAAGCTTTTTGAAATGACTAGTCACTAGAGGGCAATATTCAATTTGATGACATCATTTGTGGACAACTCTCCATGCTTTTTGTACATCAAATTTCACAATTCCTTTGTTTTCTTTGTATTTACTTGTGTTCTTGATCCGACTTCATGACATGTGAAGTAGAATATCATTTTGCATTCTATACCTTGCTTTAAGGGGAATAGATTATCTCAATCACAAGAAAGAAGGAAAAACATGAAATTTGATGTACAAAAGGCATTCTTCTGCTACTTCTCTATTACTAAAAAATGGGCAGGGGAAGGTTCAATTTGCACCCATCACACACATCCACTCCTGGTTGTCCTCAATTTCTGAAGGAACTAGGCTTTAATAGTAAATAAACAATATCTGGGGGGTGTTTCACAAAGATCCTAAGTTGAACTTATCTCTAAGTTGGACTTAACAATTATGGAAAGCCGTTCGGATCTATGAAAATATTTTATAAAAAATGTTGATTCAAATCATTCATATTTTCTTTCATCAAGGAGATTTCATATTCTTGATGTGGAATTTATGAAAAGTCTAAAATACTTCAATTTTTGCTTTTAAATAAATTTCATTTCAAGGCTACCAATGGCTCTCCATAATTTTAAGTTCAACTTTGATCTGGCAATCTCATCATAATTACCCTTGCAGTGCAGGCAAGTTGAATTTCTTCATGGCATAGATGATGAAACTTCTCAGATCAGTCTTGCTTATACCACCTATGGGGTTGAGGTCAGCACTGGAACAGTCGTATTTTGTGAAGTACCCTCTCAGACTGCAAAAAGGAAGATAAAATGAAATAATTGTAACCAACGGCAACAGAGCCATTTCTATATTCATTCATATTTTGGTAATTATGTTTTATATGGAGTTTGAAACCAATCAGACACTTCCCAACTACATGTAGTGTTTAAAATGAAAGTCATATCAACTATCCCTACTGACAACCCATACAACTGTATGTAATATAGCTGTATATTAATTTATGAATACATTTAATGATTCAAGAACATAACTAAAACAATATAGTCAAAACAACTGTAACAACTAACAAATTTCTCACAATACAATATTTCCCAATGTGTTCTCAAGCAATAGAGATCTCCATCTTGGACCTACATGTACATATCCACCACTCAAGCCCCTCATCTATTAGGCTTTAGACCTATTTTTGGAACTAGTTTGTACCTCTCGTAAGATAAGCTGTTCACAAGACCAACAAGTCCCAGGTCTATTCTAAACCTTCATGGCAATATCCACCATTACATTCCCATCATCTATTAGGCCTTAGTTCCCTCTTTCATAAAAAATGAGTAATGTATAGATGGATCTACCTCTCATCAACATTAGCTGTTCCCAGGTCCGGCAAACCACCGATTCCACATAGGACTCATAGACTACGCCATCCATTCCAACTCATCTACATGTACATGTAGGTTTTACCGGTAGTCCTAGACCCATACAGTGATATTTGGATCTACCTCTCATCAACATTAGCTGTTCCCAGGTCCGGCAAACCACTGATTCTACATAGGACTCATAGACTACGCCATCCATTCCAACTCATCTACATTTACATGTAGGTCTTACCGGTAGTCCTAGACCCATACAATGATATTTGGACCTACATGTACCTCTCATCTACATTAGCTGATCCCAGGACCAGCAAGCCACCAATTATGCATAGGACTCATAGACTATGCCATCCATTCCAACTCATCTACATGTACATGCAGGTCTTACCGGTAGTCCTAGACCCATACAGTGATATTTGGACCTACCTCTCATCAACATTAGCTGATCCCAGGACCAGCAAGCCACCAATTCTGCATAGGACTCATAGACTACGCCATCCATTCCAACTCACCTACATGTACATGTATGTCTTACCGGTAGTCCTAGACCCATACAGTGATATTTGGACCTACCTCTCATCTACATTAGCTGAAGCCAGGACCAGCAAGCCACCGGGTCTATCCAGGCTCCAAAGTGAGAGCTGAGCAAACAGGTAGGACAGGACCATCCGAGTTCTGGCCTGTCATGTTGGAAAAAGGGAAGTACCAGAATGGAAATCACTTCATGCGAAATCAAATTAAATCATTTCCTCTTCTTCTTCTTCCATTTTGAGTACATACCTCTTTACAGAGTATTATCGTACTTAATAAAATGATGACATACATGCAGATCCTAATCAAATGATTGGTTGAAAGCGTACACGTGACCATGCATTTATTTAGCCTAACACGAAATTTGGATAACTACCGGGATAATGACCGGTCACTGGCGATCATGTTTTGCGATCGAACCATTGAGACTTATTGTTTTACTTTTACTCCCGAAAATGGCTGCCGCAGAATTTAAAACGCATTTACATGTAGATCAATCAACGATGTAGACCTAGAATTATTAACGTACAGACTTTGAGATGATGCAGTGATTTATAAATTAACAAGGGATCCACGTCATAATTTTATAAAACAAATATAATATAAATTATACAGTCTAAACACCCTCGGCTATTGCCTCGGGTGTGTTAGACTGTTCCAAAGGTACCTTGTGTGGGTAATTCTTACTACGCCCTCACTGCAGTGCATTATTTGTATAATACTGGGGTGTGTGTAAGTGGACCCCTACTCTTATACGAATAGTGCAGTGGGTTCTAAATGTGCAAAGGTAGTGACTCTTCTCTACAAGGGGCCTCCATTTAACGTCCTATCCGAGGGGCAGAGTGTTTTCCACTTAACATAGCCTGCGTCTATGAGGATGGGGAGGGGCACGTTAACACACAACGCAGGCTTTAGTCATCTGTCTGGGTGGGATTCGAACCCGGGATCTTTGGTTCGACAGGCAGACGCTTTCCCGACTGAGCCAACTCACCTCCTCCCAGGAACTGGAAGTTCCATATGTGGTAGAGTGACTACAGTTTGTGCATGACCTAAATTTGAGCACAGTTCCATATCTCCAAAAACAATGTAAGATTTTGAAAAATCTGATAACACTAGTAGACAAAGGAACTGAAGATTACCAAAAGTGAAAGTTTTCTTTACAATTGGGTGTGAAATTATGAAAATATTGAGAAAAGATCCATGCAACACGATTACCTGAATGCTGCTTGTGAGTGTTGGCTTGCATGGTGATGTAGATATACAGTAGGCTTGCGGGTGCACCATGTGAGAGAGAGAGAAGGGTTGAGGAGTCTTAAAAAGGACTCTGACTCGGTGATCACCCCCAGAAAAGATTACCGAGTCAGAGTCCTTTTCAGGACTCCTCAACTTTCTCTCTCTCTCTCTCACATGGTGCACCCGCAAGCCTACTGTGTATGATTACCTGAATGTTCTGTAAAGCAAGGTTTTCTCGTTGAGAGCCTCCCGAAGCTTTGAATTTAGGTTGGGTACCAGATGCCTTCTCAAAGATACCTACGGAGGCTGTAACAGCATCGTCTATGTTGATAGACTTATGGTGGCTACAAATGTAAAATGCAAAACAATATCTCTTAAATACATATACAGTAATAGTTATACTTAATATATACTTAAATACTAATACCCTTATCAGGTTTTGTGATTATTGAAGTTTGTAAAACATTGCTTTGTCCTGATGTATGTTTCTTGTGAATATGACATATAAAAGCTTACTTCTAAAAGTATTCAATAAAGGACCTAATTCAACCAGTCCACCTTTAATTCTTGATTTACAAAAAAAAAATATGAGGGGTATGAATAATTGAGTTGTTAACTGTATAGTATCTATGGTGATAGACTTCTGGTGGCAACAAAGGCAAAATGCAAACAAGGGAAACGCTCTCGGCGGTCTCGCCTGCATAACGCAATTCAATATGATAAACCAGAACGTCAATGCCGTAGCGCTCATCCGCTTCTCACAACAACAAATATCGTAAATTATGTGGTACACTTTTGAACTGGTCAAATAATAAAAATTTGATGCCCTGGAATTTCATTTCATTTGCATATAGTACCATAAATGATCAATGGAGCAAAATCTCACAATTCTGTGTAGAAGTTTAGTGTTCCAAATTTAGCTTGACCAGATAAGGCAAACCAAATCAAAATCGGTCAAGAAATGAAGGAAAAGAAGCAATTTGGGGTATTTTCGGAATAAATTTGCATAAATTACCATAATTAGTTGATGGAGAACAATTTCAAAATTCTGTGTAGAAGTTTCGTGTACCAAAGTTAGCTCTACGATAACCAAATCAAAATCGGTCGAGAAATGAAGGAGAAGAAGCCTTTTTTGTGATTTCGAATAAATTTGCATAAATTGGCATAGATAATGAATTTCACAATTCTGTGTAGAAATTTTAAATCCCCCTCCTAGCCCTATCATATGAAACAATCAGAATCGAAATCGGTTGAAAAATAACGAAGAAGAAGCATTTTGAAAATCTTGATGTTGATGCCACAACAAAGTCTAAGTTTGTTGACCTTAAATGACCTTTGACCTTGACTTTGAGATCTGAAATTCTGCTCACATGATTGGGGATACTTGATTACCCTATAGTCAAAGTTTCATTGACTAAGAACTTATACTTTAAAAATTATATCAAAAATTCAAAAACTTAACCTCAGGTTAAGTTTTTGATGTTGACGCCGCCGCCGCCGTCGCCGCTGTCGCCGTCACCAGAAAAGCAGCGCCTATGTCTCGCTTTTTGCTACGCAGGCGAGACAAAGTACACATATTATCATCTATGGGAATAATACTTACCGGTATAGTGGCCAAAAAGGTAAAAAGCAAAAATTATTTTTGTTATATCTTAATTCATGTACATCACAAATGTTGATAAGACTTATGGTGGCTATAAAGGTGGAAAGCAAAATCAATATCTGTTATTACATCAAGTAAATCATCTACAGTATGTACATTGTTTGTCAATGAGACACAATGAGATAATAAATGAGACTTGTCGGATTTATTATCCGGCTCATTGTGACTGGACAGAGTGCAGTGCACAAGTTTCAAAGCAAGAATTATTCATTTTACAAAATGGGTCTCTAAATTTAATATAAAGTCAAGAAACAAGCAAAAACCCTCATCAACATGCCAAGAATAGCAGTCATTGCCAGTGGGGGCTATCATTTGAACAACACCACAGTAAAGCAGCCTCACAGTGCAATGCATGTTTCAATGCGAATATTCAAGTCCATGCCATTTGAAATCGCCATCGCCTCCTAATTTGTTACTTTCCAGAGATACGCGTATGCACATCTTAGCATTGCTTTATCCTTCTTTTGATGGGACTTTGTTTGCACTGCAGGCGCGGAAGGAAAGAATAATGCATGGTCACATGGTGCCATTTGACCAATTCGATTGCCTCCATGCTAGAACCTGTTTTTCATAAAAATCCATAATGTTTTTCCAAACTGGCAAACTTTATATATTGAGTGGAGGTGCTTGACATTGATCTACATTTGCCACTCTCCACCCAGTTGTTAAATGGTTACCGGTAGGTAGGAATTCCTTTAAATGCTGTGAGCGTCGAAATTGGCAGCCTAGCAGAGCCGGGTAATGTTGGAGCGCCTTGAGGACCTTGCAAGGTCGATACGTGCGATATATAAGAATCCAATATTTCTATTATTATTACCTTCCGATCTGACGGGCAAGGTCTTCGGCCCTCTGTCGCGTCTCGGTCGAGGAGTTGACCGTTCCCATGTAACAGGTCACCAGGACTCGACCGCATAGCTCCCTAGGGTCAGAGGGCGTGTACTCAGGGTCACGGGTCAATGACCTCACATCTGCAAGCACCTTTTCATCTGTCAAAATATTATTTGGTTATGATTTTCAATCTGCTAGAATATTTTCCGTCTCAAATAATGCTGCCTGATTTTGAATGGCAGCTCCATGCACTTGGCAATGCTAGGATACTGTATAAATCGAAGATTTCGTGAAAAAAGAAGGTTTTAGATTTTCAAGCTTCAAGCAAGTCATGGAAAGACGGCACCTCAACCCAACCCCCCCCCCCCCCCCCCCCAATCTAAAAAATGGATTGACATCAATTTCAGGGACTGTCTTTTTTAGGAGAAAGAAAAAATTATGATAAAAAATAAAATATATAAAATAATAATTTAAGAATAAATAAAAAAATTAGGAAAAAATAATAATAATAATGTAACTTATATCGCGCCAAATCCACTCTGTGGAGTGCTCAAGGCGCGTGTAAACAGGAAAAAAGATCAAGACTTGAAAAGAAATGTTTTGAGATGAGTTTTGAAAGAATCAGAGGATAAACATTTTTTGATGTCTTCAGGAAGGCCATTCCATAATTGAGGACTAGAGTATGCAAAAGATCTTTCCCCCCACGTTTTGGTAATTTTGGGGGTTACAAGAAAATTGGAAGTGGATGAGCGTAGAGGTCTTGCAGGAGTGTAGTTTTGGATTAGAGAGATAAGGTATTGAGGAGCAGAGCCGTGAACGCAATGAAAGGTGAGCAACAAAATTTTGAAAACAATGCGATCTTTTACTGCAAAACTGGGGAAATGTGGGTACGCTTGGTGGTCAGAGAAACAATACGAGCTGCAGCGTTTTGAAGCTTCTGAAGCTTGGACACTAGATTCTGGGGTAGATTGATTAGGAGGGCATTGGCAAAATCAAGACGGGAGGAAATCAGAGCATGAACTAATTTTTCGGTGGCAGACTTGGACAAATATTTACGAATAAAACCGATATTACGCAAGTGGTACATGTACCATACAGATCTACAAATATTAAGAACTTGGTTAGACATTGTCATATGTGAGTCAAACATAACACCGAGATTGCGACACGTTTGTGACAAGTGAATTATGTGGCCAGAAAATGAAATGCAATTGATATTAACTTTACTAAGCTGTACTTTGGAACCAAATATAAGGAATTCACATTTGTCTAAATTTAATTTCAAGGAATGTGCGAGCAACCAATCAAGAACATCAGCCATGCAAGATTCAAGGCGATGAACGGCTCGTTCTGCAGCGGCTTGATCTGAATTGAAGGAAATCATAAGTTGAATATCGTCTGCATAAATATGATAATCTATGCCATGTTGTAACAAAACTTGTCGCAATCCAATTAAATAAATTGAGAAAAGAGTGGGCCCGCCCACAGAACCTTGTGGTACTCCACAAGAGAGAGGCAAAGCAACTGATTTGCAACCATTAATACAAACGATCTGAGAGTGGTATGACAGATAAGACTCGAACCATTTGTATGCCTCACCCTTGACACCAAGTGAACTAAGTGTGTTCAAAAGGATAGTGTGATTAACGGTGTCGAAGGCGGAGGACAAGTCTAGCAGCAGGAGAGCAGTTGAGTTACCCCTATCCATCCCTTGCAGGATATAGTTGGACACATTCACAAGCAGTGTTTCCACACTATGATGGGTTCTGTAACCTGACTGGAAAGGGTCGAACAAATCATTGTCCAGAAAATAATCCGAAAGACGAGAAAACACAACCCTTTCAAGAATTTTGAACAAAAACGGTAGGTTTGAAACTGGTCGATAATTTTGGAGGGAATTTCGGTCCAGAGAAGGTTTCTTCAACAACGGAGTAACATGAGCTATTTTCAATGAGGAAGGAACATGTGCCTGCTCTAAACTCAAGTTAATCAAGTAAGAAAGGATGGGAGCGAATGTGGAGGAACAGTCCATTAATAATTTAGTGGGAACAGGGTCTAACTGACATGATTTGGGGGGTAGTTTACGTAAGAGTGACATAATCTCATTGGGGTAGTAGGTTGTATTACTTCAAAGGAAGAGGAAGTAAGGGGATGGTGTGGTGTTTTGTCAGGTGATAAACTGTCGCAGATGGTCTTGACTTTCGTCTGGAAGAAGTGGATGAATGTAGAGGCCATTTGCTGGCTATCCGTGTGGGCTGGAAGTGGTGGTAACTGTCGACGATTCAGAAGTCGGTTTGCTACTGAGAAGAGCTTTCTTGAATCATTCCGACAGTCTTCAATAAGATCTACAAAGTATGAGCGCTTCGCCTTTTTCACAAGTGAATTTACGAGGTCACGCTGGGCACAGTACAGTTATTTGTCAGTCTGAAGTCGGCCATTGGCCCTCCATTTCCTCTCCAGTTGTCTACGTAACCTCTTCTGAGTACGAATGTCATTGGTATACCACGGACAGTCTGCATGATTCCTCACTTTCCGTGATCTCTGAGGGGCATGAGCATCTAGAACCCTCCCGAGTTCTAACTTGTATTGATGAACAGCTTCTTCAACACTACATGTAGCAGGAGCAGTGATGTTGCAGTCAGTAATGCTGTTCGCGAAGGTCTCTCTGTCAATATCTCTGATGTTGCGACTGACATATGTAGAGTGGGTCCGACTAGGCTTAGCGAAGTTTAGCTTCCATAAGATCGCAGAATGGTCGGAGATGCCAGGTATGACCTGAGGTTTCGAACACAGGATTTGATCATCAGCGTTCCGCACCATGACAACGTCCAGGATGTGACCCTTGTCATGGGTAGGAGATTTGACTAGCTGGGAGATGCCGTGACTAGTGAGAAGATCATTAAACTTTTGTGTGTTCGGTGCAGAGTTATTGTCGAAGTGAATGTTCAAGTCGCCGGTGATGACAAAAGGTGGAGTTCTGTACATTCTACCATCAAGAAAGTCAGAGAACTCTTCCAGAAATTTGGAGAAGCTATGTCCACAAGGCGGCCTGTAGATTACCGAGATGTCCATACAGCTTGAGTCACTGGAGATAGTTGCAGACATACATTCAAAACTGTTGTAGTTTTCTGATGACATAATAACCTGGAGGCTGTCTTTATAAAGAAAAGCCACCCCACCACCCCGCCCAGAGACTCGTGGACAGTGTTTGAAAATGTAAGAGCCTGGGCAAAGGTCAGCCACGACTGCATCATCATCGGATGATAGCCATGTTTCACAAATACAGACAAAATCTAATTTGTGATCAACGACAAAGTCTTGAAATATGGTTGATTTATTGCGCAGAGAGCGGGAGTTGAGAGTACAAAATTTAAGATGGTCCTTAAAGCGATCACGCCCACCCCTCTTACCCCGATGTGTCCTCCGCCTTCGACACGATCTACTGATCCCGAGAGACACCAGCCGATCCCAAACAAAGTGATTCTCCTCTCGCCATTTTCCAGAGGAACTACCATCCCAAATATTAAGGGCATGAAGAGTCTGACTATCATAGGTATGATCTATAGTCAAGGAATCATCAGAACAGTTAGGTCCTTGAGAGGAAGGCCCAGGGTTGGGGCTGATGTCTCCCGAGATCAGTAGTAAAATGCGGAATCTTGAAACAGAATTAGCATACCGCTGAATGGGAGTACCAATGTACTTGTACTTCCCCTTATGATGTACAGCTACATTACATGAATCAGTGGTATAATGCACAAGTACAGTACAAGAATCAGTAGTGTAACATACAATGCATACAATAGATACAAAGGCTATTAGGATAGCCACCTTCATTGTGTAAACTCGCACAACCGTGCAGACTGTGCACTAACATGTGGAGTAAAGGTATGACAGGCAAGTGAATATGGCTACTTACAACACAAGTAAGGCAGTGGTGAATGCAAAACCAGTAGATGTAAAATGTATGACAAATATCACATGAAATATGGCCAAAATAGTCTAGTAGCCTCCTGGACACATACAGAATCAGATGATATAGATACAGTAATTGAATAACAGATTAAACAAGAAAAATTTACAGTAAAGTGCAGAGCTCTGTGGGCGGGCAACCACCAGGCGCGCACAACCCTAAAAAATAATAATCAGGGGAAAAACAAAAAAGAATCTGGAATTGACTGTTCTTACCTCCTTCCAAAACAGCCTGGCAAACGAGTCTACACATAGAATGAACGATGCAAGCAACGGATGAGCTGTCTATACCACCACTCAGAGGAATGAAGAAACCGCCCTGTCAACAGAAAAAAGGTACATGAATGTAAGACAAAAAAATTTTGATCTTGTTTTTTTTTAAAGGAAATACATAGTTTACCAAAGTTGAAGGAATTTAAATCAAATAATTAGTTACGGGATGGTCTAGTGTTATGAAATATTGTAGAGGTGTTTGTGTAGTATATAAGTCACAGGACTGTAGATCACAAAGTATATGGTTCAAATCCCCAGCCAGCCTGGCACTAACATTCTTTGGCGAGAGGTTAATCTACATTTGCCACTCTCCACCCAGGTGTAAAAATGGGTACCTGGTAGTACGCGAAACATTAAAGGTAAAGACCAGTTATGGTCATGCGATTGCATTGTGAAAGAAACGTTGTGGAATCAATCAGAAAAGGTTGATCATCTAGCATCTAGCATCTGCAAGGTTCTGGAATCATCAAAATGATAAGAAATTTGGCCCATGCTTTGTAAAGTTACAAGCACTATACACAGAAAGAGGTATATGGGACTACCCTATATCTCTCACAGACCATGAGAGAAACAAATTTACCAAATATATGAATTAGTAGGCGGTTTCCCGGCAAATTTTGTATCATCATGTATTAGTCAAAACATATTCTTTCACATGATTGGTAATGAGAGCTTCCATTTCATTTTTTGAAATTGGGGCATTTCCAATACTGGTCTTTACCTTTAATGTAGTTTGTTCAGCATTGTGAGCATTCGTAAAACGGTGCCTGACTGGAATGCACCCAGGGAATAAAAATGTGCATACATGATGCGGAGAAAAACCTAAATCCAATGACCAGGATAATAATATATCTGTAAAGTGCTTCTAAGAGACATCGCGATGTATTAAGCGCTATATTATTATCACTATATTTCTACTTTAAAGATTTTTTTTTCAGGGGGGATGGTCTTTTGTTATGAAAAGTACATGTGCGGCCATTCCATAAAGTTAGGGCAAAAAAAATGATGATTTCCATGTAACATAGTATGAGATCTTCTACTACACATGGAAGATGAAATAATCTGTTGAAGACTTTTATGCAATGAATATACATAGTAGTGCCCTGCCAGAATCATTCCTGTTTCAGTTGATTTTCATCAAAATCTTTGCTTTATAAACATTTCTCTTTTTACCAGCGTTACATGGACAACATATTTCATATAACGTTACATAAACTTTGGGTCCAGAATATTGATTCACCATGAGGCTTGAGTACTTCTGAAGATAGTCGCCTATACTTTTGATGCAAAACTCAATTTGAGCAAACATTGCTACAGTTGATAGGAGACATAGTTTCTCACTTCTGATATGCCACAAAAATTGCCCCAACTTCGTGGAATGACATCACACCTTGACAATCAAGGGGTTACCTTCATCTTCTTCTTCTTCAAGATAATCTGCCTCATTCAATACTGAAGATTCTTGCAGATGCCGTATATACTCGGCCTGATTAGGGTGTGCAGGTGGACCACTCCACCGGGGTTCGACAGGCAGAGGCTTTACCGACTGAGCCAACTCGCCTCCTTGTCACATTGTCACATTGTCACATTTCAGAGGAATTATTTTAACATGGTGCAATGAAAAGTTTTGCCCGGTTCATGTTTTTATGACCACAGAACAGCAAAGGTGTACCAATGATCTAATCACCTCTTCCGCAGGTGACAGGAGGGTACATCTATTCAAAATATATTTGCCCCCTATTTTCTTTGATTGTTTGGTTACTCAACATTATTATTGTCTGTTTATCTGCTAATATTACCATATATTATTTTAGTAATTTGACGATCTTGACCACTACTTTCTCTTAGTTTATTTTGGTATTGTATTGATGGAAATGTATTATTTTTGTCATCTTTATTACCATCTTGTACTTGTCATACCTGTCCGTTTGGCTCACTGTTGTATATTTACTGTATTTATAACTGTATGGTATAATTTGTAAACATGATCAGTTTTGGTCCTTGGACCTTTGACTCATGTATATTTAGATGTCTTTTTAAACCGAAATAAATAAATAAAAAACTAAAAAACTAAAAATCTTCAATCTCAGTCACAGACAAAGTCATACAATGAATGGCCTCACCTGCCTACTTCTTCTAAGGTAATCCCATAACCAGCAGGCTGGAGACAAGGCTATCTCCTCTTCCGCTGTATACATCTTGAGAGTGTCCCGGACTGGAGGAGTCGCTTCAGCGTCTCGGTCGTTGGAGATCGAAAAGTCGACTTGAATACGAGGGAAAGCCTCCGACCGTGTAGCCTGCATTTGTAGAATAAAAACATCATCACAACTTTTCAAAGTAAATAACAAGAATGATGATTAATACTTAGAATAAATAATCATTTTAATATTATCAGAGAAGATGATAAATTAACTGCATAATTTTTTTTGTTTTATTAAATAAGTGATTGCCTAACAACAATACAAGAATACAGTATGTTTCTTTTGACATGTATCTAACAGGAGTTGGGCTAACTCATACCAGGGGACAACTCTGCCCAACTGCAAAAACTGTCAGCTTTTGCATGTTTAGGGTTAGGAGTAAGTTTGGTTTAGGGTTAGGGTGAGGGTGAGGGTTAGAGTTAGGGTTAGGGTAAAATGACAAAAAATGATAATTTTTGCAGCTGGGGCGAGTTGTCCCCTGGTCCAAGTTAGCCCGGATCCATCTTAAGATATATAAGCACCAAAGAAAGTGTTGTTGTCATTAAATTATTGCATGGGAAAGTTTTTCTAAATGTTACACAGCACTTTCATTTTGAAACACATGTACAGTACATCTAGTAGATCAATGGTATTATACCCATTATAGCCACTCGTAACACCATCTCGCAATCCTTAAAGTGCAATGAGAATCTAAAGGAAGTGCAATTCTCAGGTTACTTTAGTATATGTTTCCATGAGAAACCACCTTCAAGGGAAACCAAAAAGTGTGGTGTTTATAGACAGGTGGTCTTTCTATACAGGTGGTCTGCAAAGCAGGTTCGACTGTGCTTGCAACAATTCAATCAAATAGACTCACGGCCATGGACGAACTGGATGCCTGCGCTCTGTACGACCTTACATCTTCGAGGTCAAGGGTCGCTGTCGTCACTTCCTGTATGTAAAATAATAACATTTGTTCAGACCTACATGTGTACATCCCTAAGTAGCTACAAGAGCTCATTTAGGCATACCCCTCGATTATTTGTCTTCCTTGATACAATCTTCCCATCACTCCACATATAATCTTCGCTCAACTACAGACACAACGGGCTCTCCATGTGCCTAGAATAAAATCGAAGATAGGTGAGCTAAATTTCCATTACAGAGGTCCGGTTACACGGAATAGGTTAAATTGTGAATTACACTGTAGTATGTCAGTTGAATTATTTAAGAAGCATCTCAAAACACACCTATTTAATACATTGTAATCAACTGCATTAAATTTTCTATCATATTATTGATGAGTTTTAATTCATTGATTTATTTGTTTTGTAAAGCGCTTTGATCAGTTCTAAATTGGATATAGCACAATAAAAGAAACAATTTATCATTATTATTATACCAATTTACATGAAATCTTTGTTCCTCAACTAGAAATCTCTTAGTTCTGAGAAGTTTGTGCATTCTAGCATGCACAGACTTTAAATAAGAAGCATTAACATTAGAACAATTTAAGGGCATTTTGAAACCTCTTTTACACTATAATTATAATTACTGTAAACTGTTTTTTTCATTTTCTGGTTGCCTCACATCTATTGAATCTTCTGGGGTGGGTGGCTATTTTGTTGTTGTTGTTGTTTTGTTTTTTGTTTTTTTTGGGGGGGTCTTTTTTTAGAGAAAGAGAGTTTTGAGACAAAATCTTGTGTGCAATATACTCAACAAGAATACACCAGTTTACGGTTAGGGGCGCCATTTTAATTGGCCAGTAAACAAAGCCAATGACCTAGAGGTCAGTGGTATTTATGCGTAAATTAAGATTGCGCCCATGCAAATTATGATGACATCACTGCCTGCGCGCTGCGTTGTGTGCGCACATCATCATTTGCATGGGCGCAATCTTAATTTACGCATAAATACCACTGACCTCTAGGTCATTGGCTTTGTTTACTCGCCAATTAAAATGGCACCCATGTCTGTGCATGCGCACTGATGGATCCGTAAACTGGTGTATTACAGATCATTATATATACATTATATAACTTATGCAAATTTACATAAACATAAGAGTTACTGCAAAACCAGAAATGTCCATAACATTACATTTTCACTAATTTTAAATAATTTCTTTGAATTGAGACTTCATGACTTTAAAACATTTTGCAAGACATTTCATCGCTGTTTTCACGAAGTGACGGTAGTGAAAAAAAATTGCATTCACTTTGCGTTACGATTTTCCTCACTACCGTCACTTCGTGAAAACAAGGACGATTTCATGAACGCCAACATTTTTAGTTTTAGAGAAATCTTGAGTATCTCCTATTCAAAAATAGATAGGTAAAATGTAGTATAGAAGACAAGCCAACAACAGGTGCTCATGCATATTCATGTTTGTCTCGCCTTGGCCTGCATGACAAACATGAATTCTGGTGTGGTCGTGTCTCCTCCTTACGAGGTGGGTTTGTTTTAAAGGGACTCGGTAACATTGCCTCATATTCCTGGAGTCAGCTCATGCTGAAATCGTAATTATAAACCTTTAGGTCAGTCAGGAATCCCATAGGGTCTGATTATCAAGAATTTTATGATTGGATTTTTTTTTTTTTTAATTCGATAAACGCCCACAACAGAAAGGGAGCTCATGCATATTCATGAACATTTCGCCTTAGCCCCTAATTTTGGTGGGGTCGTGTCTCCTTTCGACGTGGGTTTGTTTAAACTGTAGTATGGAAGACACGCCCACAACAGGGAGGGCGCTCATGCATATTCATGATCGTTTCGCCTTTGCCCCTTATTTTGGTGTGGTCTGGTCTCCTTACAACGTGGGTTTTTTTTTTAAGTGACTCTGTGACATTGCCTCAGATTCTGAAACAAAATCCTGGATTTAGCTCATGCTGCAATCATAATTATAAACTTTTAGGTCAGTCAGAATTCCCATGACTTTTACAAACCGATTGGCCTGTCTGATTATCAAGATATTTATGATTGGAAATCAAAATTTCATTTTTCGTTTTCCCAACAGTTTTTATAATACTACAGTCTACTGGGGAAAATGAGTACTGTATTTGCCGGCGATAAGGCCACAGCGCCGTATAGGCCGCACCCCCGATTTCGACATTTAAAAAAAAAAAAAAAAAAAAAAATAGTCGAAGTCGGGATTTGATCTCTTGCGTACAAATGTTGATGTGACTAAAATCAGCGCCTTAGACCACTCGGCCATGCCGCACTAATGATAGCATATGGAGTTTTCTGTGATGTATACATTGCGCCTCTCTCTTGTGTATTGAAATGGATTCAAAATAGCGACTTCGCGTGCTAGATGCTTCGCGGCAGCTCCGTTAAATGGGCCCTTCTTTTACTTTTGCAATGCATTGGCACGAACTTAGATCAAGATCTATCGGCAGATGTTGTTTTTGGAAGTTTATTTTCGTCTTCATGTCAACAATGCAAGATAAAATTGTTGGTAAGATGTGTGGAAATGTATAGTTATTGTACCGTTCGTAGATCTAGTCCCATATGTGCAAATTCGTGTTGGTTTTGACTTACTTTTATAAATTTTTTTTACTCTTTTGCCGCATAGGCCGCACCCCAAATTTTTGATATTTTCTCTTCCAAAAATACTGCGGCCGTTATGCAGGCAAATACGGTATGGTAAAGCCCGTCACTCAAAGATTTTTACTTTTTTGAGGCACTTCAAGATTTTGTTAGGGCTTCAACATTACACCATATCACAGACACTGATAACACATAGGGCCATGCATCTCAGATTTAACATTGTTAAACAATGCTTTTAAAGTGTAGTATGGGAGACACGCCCACAACAGGGAAATAAACATGAATATGCATGAGTGCCCTTGCATGCATACATTAAAAAGGTCAACATACAACATCAGCGAGTGCAAACTCCTCCCCCCTGACGACCACGTCTCCGTTTACAGCTATCATAGAACCCCCGTAGTAGTAGACTCTTTCTCCGTCACAGCCCCGCAGGTTGGAATACATGTAGATACCACCACACTGTCAAGAGGAAAATAGATAGTAATTAAATGATAATTGGAAGGTTTTAAAGGCGATAACGATAGAAGGTAGATTTGTACTAAATTCCATTTCTGTAATACCTTTGCAGCTTGGTATAACTGCAGATGCAACCATATTGTTAAGAAAAGAAAAAACATACTAAGAAAAGTGGATAAAACAGGGATCATAGAACCCCAGAGATGCCAACCTTGTGTAACCAAAAGAAGGAACCATGATGGCGAAAAAAAGGAACTTCAAGAAAAAAAAAGGAATTGTCACAACCACGTGCGACACACTTCCAATGCAGAAATATCCATACCTCATGCTGTTATTTTCATGTTAGGACCTATACTTAATTTACAAGTAGGTGGTTTCCTTTGTTTTTTTGTTGGTATTATCAGCGTTTCATTCTTTTTGAGAATACATGTATTTACGCCTTTCTCTTTACTTTTTTTTTTCTTTTTTGCAAATTAGTACTTTTCATAAATCTCTACTGAAGTTTTCTATTGAAGCAATGATCAACATTTTAGGGTATTTGGTTGATGTGCAACAAAAAAAAAGGGGGAAAAAGGATTTTATGAAGAAAAAACGTACTACCGTAGTTTGGAGAAAAAAAACGGAATAATTCCCAGAAAAACAAAGTGGTTGGCAGCTCTGGAACCCCCATTGTGTAATCAATAATTGTTTAAATTACAAAAATCAATATGTATTTCACAACCTCTGAATATTTCACAAAAAATGTGAATGTGTTATCTCTCACCTTCAAGGTAGCATTCTTAATGAGATCGACAAGGCGATGCCCTTTCCTGAGGTGATGTAAGCTGCCGCTGCCGTTAGTAACGATCTCTACGCCATCCAGACTCATCGCTATATGAGGGCTAGGTGGGTGGGAGAAGGAAAACAATAAATCAGGTCATTATCATCTATATCATCAGCATTTTGAGTAATAGCAGTAGTAGTAGTAGTAGAAGCAGTATTAGTGGTAGTATTAGTAGAAGTAGTAGTAGTAGTAGTAGTAGTAGTAGTAGCGGTAGTAGTAATTAGTAGTAGTAGCAGTGAAGTAGTAGGAGTGGGAGTGGTGGTGGTGGAGGTGGGTAACACTATGAATATGACTGACAAAGAAAGCGGACAAAATATACAGTTCCTCAGGTACACAAAGGAACATCCCTTCACTGCTATTATGTAAAAATGTGCAGAACAGGTGAATATGCATGTGACACCTGTTCTACACATTTTTTACATAATAGCAGTGAAGGGATGTTTCTTTGTCTACCTGAGGAACTGTATATTTTGTTCGTTTTCTTTGTCCGTCATGTTCATAGTGAAAAGTAGTACAAGGAGGAGGAAGAAGAAGAAAATGACGAGAAGTAGTAGTGGTTGTTCATATTTTTCTTACTATTATTATTGCCCCCCCCCCCCAAATAATAATTTTTTTTTAAATAAATAAAATAAAATAAAATAAATAAATAAATAAATAAATAAATAAATAAATAAACAAATTAATTAATTAATTAATTAATTAATTAATTAATTAATTAATAAATGAATTAAAAAAATAATAAATAATTTTTAAAAATAAAAAATAAATAAAAAATAAATAAATAGATAAATTAAACATTTAAATTTTAAAAAAGCAGACCGGTTGTAAACAAGATTGTCTTCTTCACATCGTCTTACCTGTTTGCAGTCCATAACCCCTCACACACCTCAGTCCCAATACATGTATCACGTGTTGCTATCACAGCATCTCCTATGGGAACCGTTATCTAATGCATACAAAACAAGCGGAAGACGGAGATCAAATGAGAATTTATAAAGCGTTGTTCCATTTTAATTAGCAAAATGCCAAATGCACTGGAAATAATAAATGAACAAAGTCATGTGGTATATTAAATACAGAATACATGAAGGATACGATCTTATAAGTGTAATACTTACAATAAAATCAGCAAACAAGAATTTTAGAGAAAAATGCACTATAGAAATATCCATGTATGGTATAAAAACAATATGGACATTGCCATCAAATCAAGCAAATGAAGTTTGGAAAAAATGAGTTGCCAGTGAAGACTTGATATGTCTTACCGTATTTGCCGGCGATAAGGCCGCACCGCCGCATAGGCCGCACCCCCAACTTTGACATTTCAAAGAGGGAAAAAAAAAAAAAAACAGACAAAACAAGATAATCATAATTTTCATAGTTTTCAACAGGGCCCGGGGGGGGGGGGGGGGTGTTTTACAAAGACTAAGATCGACTTTAAGTTGGACTTAACTATGGCAGGCCTTTCATGCCACTGGTTGTTCTCACCATTATGATCTTTATATAATATTTATTCCTTCAATAATGAATTATCAACAAATATAAATTCTGTAGATTTGTGACCATGATTTGTACGTCCCTTGAGAGACCAATGCCAGTAAACGATGAGAGCAAACAGTGGCATGAATGGCCTGCCATAGTTAAGTCCAACTTAAAGTCGATATTAGTCTTTGTGAAACACCCCCCTGGTATATCAAATTTAGGGCTCTAAAACAGAGGCTATTGAATCAAACCACAAAATGTTGAATGATGATCGCACTAGTCCGTACCTGGTCTGTGATATCTGAGATCATCCTTGGTAAGAAGTGCTGCTCCACAGTCCTTAGCTTAGCCCAACCAGTAAACCATCTCAGCTCTCTGTAGTTGCCATTATTAGCCATGTCAGTCTTGGGCTTGATCAAGATAATTTTCCTTTAAAAAATGAAAGGATTTGTATTAAGTGGAGAACTCGCTGACATCCAGCCATTAAAGCCCCACTGCACTACTTACAGCTACTTGCGCCCTCTATACAGCAAACAATGCCAAAGCGGTACCCATTGGTCCCCCATGATAACCTTTGTCTTATGTTAATTGAGAGCTGGTTTGATGAGATAACCACCTGTCAGTGACCGTGCAGGGAGGTCTAATCTCTCCTGGTCAAACCAGAGATGCCAACTTTTGGAAAACAGAAATACACTGTAGGGAGGATTTGTAACCAACACCAAATAATGTGGCATAGCGCACATCTCGAGCGCATAGCGCCAGACCCTCTGGTGCAATCAGAGCCTTATTTTGCAGCATTTTACATGTGTATTTAGTTAAATAATTCCCACTTTTTTATAAGGTAACATACAAATTGTACAAAATGCATGATGAATACCTTTCAGACTTCCGAATTCGGTCTTATACTTTTGAGACCATTTCTTGGTCTTCTTTTACTGATTTTCCGCCATTTGGGTGTCAATATCCACGCATTGGTTATGGCGATTCATATGCTGAAACAATCTTTCGCTACTTTTAATTTGTCTTTAAACATAGTGGAATTACTACATGCTAAAGTTAACAGACGATATTTCTCATTCAATTCACAGATATATATATAGTGCAGCGGCTTAGCAAGAAAATTGTGCACTTTTTGAGAAAAGCATGAAACTTCCAGCATAGTTTGCTTTCACCATAAGATTTATTTTCAGATGTGGAGGGAAGTCAGATTTGACCTCTGATGACCCTGAGAGGTCAAATCCAAAATGGCCGCTTGTCCGCATGGTCTAATGTACAAACACGCTTAACTTTTGAACCAAATACACCAGAAAAACGTTTAAGGTGTCATTTCCAACTAACTTGGGGATGCCAATTCATTTGGTAATACTTTTGAGATCACCTGAACTCAGGGTTTTGCATTTAGGTCAAGGTCAAGGTCAAAATTGACTAAAAATAGCAAGTTTTGAATAGTTACAAAAGGTTAAATCTCATTTATTTGTCCTTTGTTCTCAAATTTATTTAGGAATGGTTCACCTGCCGAGTCCTCCACCTTAATCCTTTTCAGTTAGTTTATTTCACAGTTTGATGTGACCTCTGATGACCCTGAGAGGTCAAATCCAAAATGGCAGCCAGTCCGCATGGTCTAATGTATAAACGTGAACTTGAACCAAATAATCTAGAAAAACGTTTAAGGTGTCATTTCCAACTAACTTGGGGATGCCAATTCATTACGTAATACTAAGAGATCGCCAGAACAAAGAGCCCCCGTGAGAAGGCTCACGGGGGCTCTTTTATTACTGACGGGGGCTCTTTTTTTATACAAATATCCATTGAATTGGTGCCTATGATACTCCTCAATTATTTGCTATTTTTTCATTATCATTTCAATCAGCATTTTCCCTCTTACAAATTTACAAGCTACATAGCTGTTACTGGCCTGTGTATATAATATATACGCATACAACACTGATCTTTATGATGTCTTTAACGTGACATATCTTCTTCTCCCCTTGCAAACGAAAAAGAAAACAAGGTCATTAAAAGGGATTAAGCGACAAATAATGATTGTGATTCAAATTGATGCGAATATTTGTTTGAATAAGCACTGCTATTCACCCGAATCTTCTTTGTAAAAACAACTTTTACAAATCTCAGCCATGCTCACTGAGTTGAGACGTTCCATTCAATTTGAAATACCCATTACATAATACACTTCTCCTAATCTCAAAGTGATCTTACAGCACAGTGGCAGAATTGCATGGCTGAGATTTGTAAAAGTCGTTTTTACAAAGAAGATTCTGGTGAAAAGCATTGCTTATTCAAAAAAATCCTTGCATCAATTTGAACCACAATGATTATTTGACGCATGGTCCTTTTATTAAATAACCTTGTTTTCTGTTTTGTTTGCAGAGGGAGAAGAAGCTATGTCACGTTAAGAAATCATAAAGATCAGTTGTATTATGCGTATATACATTATGATACCAGAACAAATGTTGATTATCAGAATGTCATTTTGGAATACCTCTATACAAATACCACATTGTCTTTAGCCCGTATCAGTATTAGTATGATCCAATATAAAGCTATTATTCTTTATTTAATTCAGTATAATGCTTTTCCTCAAAAATAGTTTTGCTATTTTTTTATGGTTGAGACGCTAAGAAATGGTTTCAAATGTACATTACACGAACCCTGAACCATTGCAAAATGATGGTGGTTCTCTCTCTCTCTCTCTTTATTTTAATCATCCATTATCAACTACATATAAAGCAGCAACCAAAAACTTAGGATTATCTGAGATAGGTGAAAGTAAGAGTTAAAAAGAAAGTCATGCTAAAACGGCGCTTCACTTCCCCCCGCCCCCTGAAAAAAATTAAATAGATTAGTAGTCCTCGTCTCCAGCATCCCCCTCCCCCCCCCCCCCCCCCCCCCCGCTTTAATATCACATTTTCACTTGGCAGCACAAGGGGGCCGGGGGTGGGAGGAGGGGGTTAAACCCCCTAACCCCCCCCCCCCCCCCCCCCCCCGTAGATCTGCCCATGTTACCATATCATTCCACGACATTTTGGTCTTCCTCTTCTCCTCAAAAGGGACTTTTAGATTTGCGTGGACGTGGACGTGGACGTGTTACGTCCTTTTAAGGCACTGGCAGTCACATTATGTGACGTCCTTTTAAGCACTGACCGTGCCTTAAAAGGAGGTCACACGTTGCAGTCCACGTTCTCATCGTGCAAATCTAAAAGTCCCTATTGATTTACTGGTCGAGGTTCATTATTTGCTGACAACGAAAAACTTCTCCAGGCCACGACCATGTTTCTGCCCTTGCGCGATCGCCTCCAGCTTCAGCAGACATGGCGCGGCAGCGTGCACACGCACCGCTACTAAAGGCGCAGTAGGCCTATAACCACTGCTGACGGCGGCACTGCACTGCGAGCTGAATCGGTAATAATAGGCCTACTCATAAAACGAGAAATCTTGCACGCTAATCTTAGTTCCATTTCATTGGTTTAAGGTTTGAAAATTGAAACTCAATATTGTGTTAAAGTTATAACAGAAAAGATAATCTTTATTTTATAATTCCACCGGGGCGATTTTTAATTTTGCAATCGCCCCCATGAGCAACCTGACGGGGGCGATTATGTAGCTCACAGGGGCGAATCGCCCACCGCCCCCGTGTATTTTGAGCGCTGCAGTAGCTGCCCACTGACCATGCTATATGCAAATGGTCAGTTACAAGACAAATAATGGTTTGGTGCTATAATTAGTGAAATAAACTAACTGATTACGATGGAGACTATGCAGGGGAACCACTCCTAAAGAAATTTGAGAACATAAGGGGACAAAAAAATGGGAAAACTTTTTGTAAACATTCAAAACTTTTACCTTGACTTAATGCAAAAGCCCTGAGTTCTGGTGTACTAAAAAGTATTACCAATTGAATTGGCATCCCAAAGTTAGTGGGAAATGACACCTTAAACGTTTTGCTGGACTATTTGGTTCAAGAGTTAAGCGTGTTTGTACAATTATTAGACCATGCTGCGGACTGGCGCCATTTCTTATTTGACCTCTTAGGGTCATCAGAGGTCAAATCGAAATGTGAAATAAACTAACTGAAAGGGATTAAGGTGGGTGACTATGCAGGGGAACCACTCCTAAAGAAATTTGAGAACATAAGGGGACAAAAAAATGGGAAAACATTTTGTAACTATTCAAAACTTGCTATGTTTTAATCAATTTTGACCTTGACCTTGACCTAAATGCAAAGCCCCGAGTTCTGGCGATCTCAAAAATTATTACCAAAATGAATTGGCATCCCCAGGTTAGTTGAAAATGACACCTTAAACGCTTTTCTGGACTATTTGGTTCATGAGTTAAGCGTGTTTGTACAATTATTAGACCATGCGGCGGACTGGCGGCCATTTTTTATTTGACCTCTCAGGGTCATCAGAGGTCAAATCAAAATGTGACATAAACTCACTGAAAGGGATTAAGGAGCGTAAATTCCTAAAGAAATTTGAGAACATAGGAGAGAACAAATGACAAATAAATGGGAAAACTTTTTGTAACCATTCAAAACTTGCTATTTTTTAGTCAATTTTGACCATAACCTTGACCTAAATGCAAAACCCTAAGTTCAAGCGATCTCAAAAGTATTACCAAATGAATTGGCATCCCCAAGTTAGTTGGAAATGACACCTTAAATGTTTTTCTGGACTATTTGGTTCAAAAGTTAAGTGTGTTTGTACATTAGACCATGAGGAATAGCGGCCATTTTGGATTTGACCTCTCAGGGTCATCAGAGGTCAAATCTGACTTCCCTCCACATCTGAAAATAAATCTTATCGTCTAAACTAACTATGCTAGAAGTTTCATGCTTTTCTCAAAAAGTGCACAATTTTCATTATATTGGGAGCTTATCCGCTGTACTATGGTGATCGTAAGGTCGGGAGTTGGGGTGAATTTTTGGGTTGGCATCTCTGTCAAACTAGTGCAGTTGAGCTTTAACAAAAGAATGGCAAAAAACATTGACCACATGATTAAAAGACATCAGAGTCTCTTGAAAGATTTATCGGAAGGAAAAGTAGATCAAGCAGCAAACCAAGAACTAACTGGGAGAGGAAACATGGAGTGGAATATGATACTACAATAGTGTGCTAGGGTGGCAGGAAACAGAGAGATTTGTGGGAAAATTGTTGTAATCAACCACCGAGCTAGGAGAAGATAAATTGATAGATCTATAAATTGTGATAAGCCCGTCTTCATCAGCTCGATGATTGCCAAATAACCCACTATTTTAACCATCCCGATCGCAAATTATCCAGCTAATTTGCATGTTCATCAGATCGCAGTTGCAATTAGCGAGATATTTGGTCGAGGTAATCATCCCAAGATATCTTGGGCTAGTTTGCAAAATATCCAGCTATTTGTCTGGTGCGTCTTCACCAGCCCAAAGACTTGCACTATGCGCATAGGCTGAGCAAAATATCTCAAACTAATTTCTCGAGCTCGAGTTTCGAGCTGATCAAGAAGCAACTTTTAACTTTGGGCTTATTTCCCAAATCAGGAATAGCGGGCTAGTTGGCAATCTCGAGCTGATGAAGACATAAGTTATGAGATCTTACCTGTTGAGGAAGATGACTCTGCAATTATAGCGGACATTCTTGTGCATCACCGGCCTGTAATAGACAGAAACATGTCATAAAACATCAGCGTACTTATATCTTAAAAACAGAGTTGGCCCTAATACTGATCCTTGTGGAACAACACATCTTATGAAATAATGATGACAACAAATTGTTTGTGTATATTTTTTAACCTACCTTTACCTTTACCCAGTCATTGTTCTATTTTACATGATAAATTTTTAGTTGGATCATTTTCAGTCTAAAACTTTGCTGTCTATTTGGTAGTAATTGAACTGAAGAAATTTGTGTAGAATATGAGAAATCGTGGATCAAATATCACATTCCTAATTCCTTTTTTCAACTCTGCGCAAACTTTGGTCACCCCATCAGGCCTAAAAAAAAATGTTCTATTGCCCTTTGCGACCTACCCCAAAATCTTGAAATCTACGGCCGGATTTTCCTCTTTTTTTTTCTTTTTTTTTTACCGTTTTTCAGAAAAACAATTGTGTTAAAGTATTCAAAACTGAGAAATGTCAGCCCAAAGAGGGAGTTTTATTTTTTTAAAGTAAAAAAAAAAGAAAAGATATCCGACCAACCGACCCATGTTTTGGCACCAAGAGGGCAATACAACATCTTTCTTTTTTTTTAGGCCTCATAATTTACAGTATACTTACATTCCTACATCACAGATCATATCCTGAGTCTCCGGTGCTTCCAGTAGCTTAGCCAAGACCTGCCATGAATGTAGGTTTGTGTCTGATTCATAGAAATGATCATTACATCCATAACCTCTGTAAAACACAAGCAAACAGTCTGATTTAAAATAGCAGTTCTAAGTTTTTAAATTTTCTAAATTTTCTAAATTATTTTTTTTTTCCCTCAACCATGCCACCGTTAAGTAAAAAAAAAGAAGAGGATTCGGGGGGGGGGGGGGGGGGGGGAAATGGCATCTTACAACATTCCCCCCCCCCCCCTTTTGAGTAAGACAAATTGGGAAATAATAGGGGAAAATAGGGAAGAATAGAGAAATAAGGAAGAATAGAGAAATAAGGAAAAATCTTGAAAATTGGGATAAAATCAGGAAGAAGAAACAAAAATAAAAATCGGGTAAAAAAAGAAAAATTAAAAAAAATTGGGTGAAAAAAATTAAAAATCAGGAAACCGATTTAAATCGGGTTTTTATCAGACCTGAAAATGGCAAGTATTCATCTTATTTTCCGCTCCTTCATAGTATAGAGAAAACAAAATATTTGCATTTTCAAACTTTGAATAATGAAATAAACCAATGTGAAAGAATTGCCAATTTTTACATGAAATTAGTGAGTTACATATATTAAACCACTCATATTCAAACATTTTCTGCTCATGTATACTATGGGATTCCTACCATTCTGAATCAAAACAAATTCACTAAATAATAATGTACTGTGGGCAGAGGAATACACACCATATATTCATCATCATCATTTTTTAAAATCAGCATTTACGTACTGACATCTAAAGCATCATACAAGAACCCAAGTTAATATCATTATTATGTAAGAATAAAGAGAAGAGGGAAATGCATTAAAAAAAGGAAGATATTGTCATAAAATAATAATCCAAATTCATCTTAATAATGTCAAAAAAATTATACATCAAAGTCTTCTAATCTGTTTTATGTGATGATTGTGCTGCAACTGTAACACATTTCTGTTCTGTGTTTTGTTTTGTTTTTTAATATTTTACTTACGTGATTTCTAGCTCAGGACCTAATCTGTATCTGGCTCCCTTTTCCTTGGCAATAGCCATACCTGAAGGAAGACAAGAAATAAACATCACAAGTTCAGAACCTTCATTTTCTTAAATATCAACCTTAAAATCACTATTTTAAAAGAGTATAGAAGTTTACAATCAATCATGCAGTAAAGAAAGTATGCACAAACATGTACATGTAGGTATCACTCTAGCCATTCAATAGATTATTCAATCTTTTCAGAAAAAAGGTACAGAATGTTAAAGATAAACTTGAGTTCTGGTAAAAAAAGAAAATGAATTCTCACAGAATCTAACAAAACTTACACTGAACGTTCAAGATTACAAATAAATGTCATGTGCCAAACAATTTTGGAAGAAAATGTTTACTGGCTGAGTAATGAGCATAGAAAGATAAGGAAATCAGGGTAGTACTAGCCCCGACACCATGTGTGTTGTCCCATATACATCTATCTGTGTAAGTGATTGTTACTTTACCAAGACTCTGCCAAATTTATGATGATTTTGATGACTCTAGAACCTTGCATTACACACCATTACTTACATGCTATGATCAACTTTTCTGATCCATTCCACACCTTTTCTTTCACAATGCAATCGCATTACCAGTACTCAAGTTTATCTTTAAAGTGAGAGGGTCGTCAATTTCCATGTCCAAAAGGCCATAATTCACTAATACCAGACTTGGTGGAAATACCATCAATGGGTGAAGCACACAGCAATTAACCCATAGTCCTATCACTCAATCCTGTGTCCACACACAACATTTTCTGTGATTAGGCGTGATTAGTTATACAGTTTCGGGATAGTTATACAATGAAATTGTGTGTGTGGACGCTTACTAACGATACATCGTATAACGAAACACAGGTTTGGGCATCGTTTCGAACTAGAACTCAATAAAGAATCATGCCTAATCACGGAATGTGTTGTGTGTGGACGTACATAACTAGTCGAACTAGAATGGTATAACTGGGCGGGGCTTAACGTGACTTCGCGCGAAAGGAGACCTGAACTCTCATTTCCGCTTCTATTTCATGACCGCACCTATACGACTTTCATTGTAGAGTTTCTGGATTACTTTCTTGTGTGTGTGGACACCCTGGAATTTATACAAGATTCTTTATACAACGTTTCATTATAGAGTTTCGGGATAAATTGTTTTGTGTGTGGACATGCTGATAGAGTCTTCAGGTGAGGAAGAAGTAAGATAATTAATTTACCATATGGGGGAATGGAAGTAAACATAAGCAACTGAAGGGTAATCTTGATGATTGACAACACATGTTATTGAGTAATTGCCCATGAGAAATAATCTTTTTTGAATAGTTAATATTTGTTTTCAGACAGTTCTTGACAGCTGCCATAGAATGGCAATTTTGGGTATGGAGTTCCAGGTTTTAGGGGCGATAACTAAAAAAGCCTATGAACTATTTGTTTACTAGTTCTAGTAATAGATCACCTAGGTATGCTAGGGCTTGAATATTGTGACTTTTTTAATAAGGTTTAAGATTTGTGTAATATACGATTATGAACACAAAGCTGGTGAAGATCATTAATGAGAGCTATATAAGGAGGACAAATTTTAGTTTACAATTATGTAGTGGTGCTGCTATATTTTGGAGGAGTTGAAAGGAGATGACATCATCTTGAGCGTACCAGTATTGAAATCTTGTATTTTGTACATGTGCTGCACACACACACAAACAGTACATGTACATGTATGTAGGCGGATCATGCACACCGCACTGTGCGAAAATGGCATCATTTCCTTTAACATGACCAAGCATAGCAAGCACAGATCTTGTTTTCAAGCCAAGGCACGCAGATTCCAGGGAAACTCTCGCATAGTACACGCCTGGAAGTTCTAATTTCTAGTTGTGTACATGTACAGTTTGTACTCTGCTTCATCGAAAGCGTTTATCCATCACCTGCAAGCTCTGCTTACATCCTCTTCTAATTTAATTACAAAAACGGTGCAAAACACAGCCATCCAATGAATCTTTAATGTTCTTGCAAACCAAAAAACATGTGGAGAGAAAGAAAATAGTTCAAAAACTATCAGACCTGATGAACAAAAGGTACAGGTGTACATGAGTCATACAGCTAGGAAGTGGCCCATTACATAATCATTGTCCTTTCCTCCCGTGACAGAGACAATTATCTCCTACCCATACACATATGATTTTGTTTGAAGAACCAAACAAAAAATGTAGTGCCTTTAAAAAAATGCTGATCTCTCTTTTATTTATCGATGAGGTTTAAATTCCCCTTTAGATTATTCTCTCCTTCCAGTACTAGTACTATTGGTAGGAATCTACAATTTTAATTTAAATTCAGTCCCCCCCCCCCCCTCCTTCAGCTCTCTCTTACTCCCTTCTCTCGGTCTCAGTCTCTTCCTCTGTCTCCCTCCCTCCCTCCCTCCCCCCCCCCCCCCCCCCTCCCTCCCTCCCTCCCTCCCTCCCTACCTCCCCCCCCCTCCCTCCCTCCCTCCCTCCCTCCCCCTCCCTCCCTCCCTCCCTCCCTCCCCCTCCCTCCCTCCCTCCCTCCCTCCCTCCCTCCCTCCCTCCCCCTCCCTCCCTCCCTCCCTACCTTTGATGACAAACAACATGCAAGAAGCAAATATCACAAAACTTATCATAAGCATCATCATCATCAATAATAATAATAATAATAGTGGGTTCTTGTATATCGCTCATGTCTGTCAGACATCACCTGGGTTGAGTGTAGCAAATAATCAATTCTTGCCAAAGGACATTAGTTCCGCGGCGGGATTCGAAGAACGGAACCTTGTGATCGACATATCACCACCAATCATCTTCACACATCATCATCATCATCACCATCATCATCATCACCATCATCATCTTCATCATCATCATAAATCATCATCATCACACATCATCATCATCATCATCATCATCATCGCCATTGTCATCATCATCACCATCATCATCATAGTCATTGTCATCGTCTACATCATCATCACACATCATCATCACCAATCATCAACATCATCATCATCATCATCATCATCATCATCATCATCATTACCATCGTCATCGACATCACATTCACACATCTGTTCATCATCATCATCATCATCATCATCCTCATCATCATCATCACCAATCATCATACATCATCATCATCATCGTCGTCATCGTCATCCTCATGGTCATCGTCATCATCCTCACAATCTCCATTCATTTGTCATGAACTGCCCTGTCTGTCCTGATCGAGCTCCAAGCGAGTTCAAGGGATCGTGGGAATTTTACCGACCGGTCAATAACAAAAGTGCTAGGCCGACACGCCGGGCGGCTTGCTCATCGATGATCATGATGATAGCCCGAGGCTTAGGCTGAGCTGAGCTGAGGCTAGGCGGCCCGGGGGCTAGGCAGCTTGAACAAGTTGAAATAAAAAATGAAAATGATCCATGAATAGAAACACTTACTTTTCAGGATTCTTTCGTAGTTTCCTTCGAAGTCCATTGCCCACTGGTTCAGGGTACAGGTCGCTAAAACAACTTTTCTTCCCATTTTAAAAATATTTGTTCCTACTTCACGGAGACGAAATCACACGACTGAGCAAAGAGCTGAGCTGTGACAACCTGCGCTGCGAAGCATAGGAAGAACCAAATTAAATAATGATGTAAAAGATTGTTGCCCTTTCTTTGTAAAGTTTACTTCGGGTGATTCACGATTGCGATATGAGCTAGCGCGCGGTATGCTGGATATGTTCTTGCTACAGAAAGTAGTCCAGTCTGTTTGTGCATAAAAAGAGGTATGTTTCTATTTTCGGACAATTAATCACATTTTCTGAGGATTCTTGTGAAATCTGCATTATTATTTTGCCGCAATAAATGTTATAATGATCATTCTCACAGTATAAGATAAAAATGTTTACTGGTAATCGTTGTGAGAGCAGAAAATCAGTATTAAATGATTACGTTACTTTTTTTTTTTTATAGACCCTAGATTGCATCAGTCCCATTTGTTTTGATTTGTGTTTGTAAAATGTTGGTGTAATCTGTGCATTATTTTATAACATACGCGTAGCCGTAGAGAAGAGGTATGATCGTGATGGGGTGACCAAAGTTCACAGAGATTTTTGAAAATATTAGGAAATGTCGTATTGCTACTGTTAACCTATTGGAAGACCTTATCGACAGAGTTAGCAGACTCCAGCATGTCCTCGACTCTGAACCAAATACACCACTGCTCAACAGCCAGGACCCTGCCCATCTGACTAACTCTAACTAACCGGCGCCGGTGTTGGAGCTTCCTGGAGTTACATCTGACTTGCTCTATTCTCTTGCCATATGATCCATCCCTTCCCTACACTGTCAATGATTTTATTTTAAACACTATGACTTATGACACTTCACAATCTTTACAAAATTCATGCCCATCACCTGCACTCCATTCCCTTCAACTAAGGATTATAGCATATTTACAGCAGCCTACTACTTTGAACGCGATGAACTCGCTGATCTCCGAAAAGCAGAGGGACAACAACAGAGAGATATCCCTTACTCTACACAAATTTTGTTAGTTCAGTTATAAACAAATGGATGGCAAAGTTTTTTACTACGAACAAATTGGGTGCAACTAGAAAATGTATAGACTTAATAATTTATATATAATATAGACCCTAGACCCCCTAGATCTAGCATAAAAATTGAATCGACGGGGTCAAAGTCAACTCAAACTTCAAAGAATTCCAGAGATTGCGATCTGAAGATTTGATGTCGGATCGGCATGCGCTGCAACTGGTGAAATAACCAAGGCCGGTACTACTGAAGTGTACGACTGATTTATCAAATATAGCGATATCCAAGAAATAAAAGATAATTGCATAATTTGCAAGGCAAAAAAACACCCAATCACTTTTTATTCAGAATTTTGATGACATCTTCTCTCGATATAAAAATTCCTAAACCCTTATCGGTAAGTTTAAAATATTCTAAACGGACGAGTAAAGACAGCAAAATTTGCTGATCTTTTAATCGTCACTATTTTCCTAATTTCTAAACTAATTCCAAAGAAACTTTAGTCTCTGGGCCTGGGGTAAACAAGGGTGGTTTTTTTTCTTTTCTTTCTTTACTTTCTTTTCTTTATCTTTCAGTAATCTTACTTCAAATATGGATAACAAAACCGAGGCTTTTTTTTTTTTTTTTTTTGCTTTTCAGTTTCTTTCACTCACAGTGACTATGCTGTCAAATATGGATTTCATAAACAAGGAATTGGAGGATGTTAGAAAACGATGCGTTGATGACATTCCTGGGTCTGAGATTGTGGCTTGTCACCCTGCTGCTGTCAGAATAAGGATTGTGTAAGTTGATGATGGTGTTGTTGTTTCCGTTGTTGCCATTCTCATTGTGTCATTCATTGTAATTTTGCTGTTGAGATTATCACTGTTGTTGTCATTCATTGTTGTTGTTGTTTTCATTGTCGTTGTTGTCATTGCAATTCTTGATGTTGTATGTGATAGGCCTGTTTGACACTCAAATAGCCTCATTGTTCTCCCAGTATCTATGTTAGCTATATCTGCTAGCTATAGTTATGTACATATGTAGGCCAGTACAAGTTTAGAGGGGGGGGTAATTGTCTTAGAGGGTAATTTTCAGGGTCGGGGAAATTGTCCACAGGGGGATGGTTGTCTTTGGGGGGTAATTTTCCAGGAAGGTGATTGTTCTAAAATGGTAACCGGGGAATCCATGAAGTTTTAGAGCTGATTTTCCTTGTGCTCTAATCATTATAGGAAATAGTATTCCTTTTATTTACATACAGTTGACAACTTAATTATTCACACTCCCTGAAAATGTTATGTTTTTTTGTGTTTTTCGCAACTCAAGAATGAGGGCTATTGTTGAATACTTTTCTATGTATATGTCACATTCTCAAGAAACATAAATAGAGACAAAACAATTTTTCACCTCCTTGTAAAAAGAAAAAAAAACTTGGTATGGCGGTATGGGTATACCGTACGTATAAATAATATATTTGTTAACTGTATGTTTGCTTTTTACTGTGGTTTAGGAGAACCAAATACAAGAGGTTGGAAGTTTGCATGCAGTTTCAAAACAAGTACCCTGATGAACCGATTATCATTGAGATAAAGAGTAAGACTGTCCCAGACAAACTGAAGGAAGGCTTGACCAAGATCTGTGATGAACAAGCCAAGACTCTACTGGGAAAACCACAGGTAAACAGGACGTTAAAAAGTAACTCAGTAACATTGCATCAGATTCTGAAACAAAATCACGGCAGAAATTTTCTATCATAACAAATAATTTCCTTGAGGATTTCCTGCTTCTCTTCTTTCATTTGATGCCCAAGTATTATTCATAATTCATGCATGACTATATTCAAGCAATGAGTTTTTAGGGTAATTACAAAAGTAGACATAATTGCTTTAAAAAAAAGAAAACATGAAAATTCATGATTTCTCTTTCAATTGATACTCTTATGCCAAATAGCAAGTAAAATAAAAAATATGCTAGATTTCTCCCCAAATGAGTGGAAAGTTGAGCTTTCCTTGGACACCCTGTATTTCTGTTTGATAGGAAGAGGATGAATAATTTCCTTACACCCTGTACCTAGATATCCAAACACGCTATCTCCTGAAATTGAGTTTATAAAAGCAAGTGCACGATTAAGGATTTTCTGAGAGGAGGGAGGGAGTGTCATCATGGCGCAAAATACAAGTATGAAATGAATTTAACTGTAACTCTTACACTACTTATAATGTTTTTTTTCTTTCTGCACTATTAAAAAAACAGATCCTTCACATTGCAAAGTTTGTTCAGCAGTTCTTGGCAGACAACCCATTCAGTGTATGCAGTGAAGAGGTGTCTTTCATTAAACGTGAGCTGATCACGGAGAAAGATGAGATTAAGATGAAGCAGAAGTCAGGAGTCATCGTGATCACGATACGGGAAACAGAATACTTCATGAAATTCAGGTTAAAGGTCCCCGATCTCTATCCAGAGCAACAAATAGTGTGAGTTTATATTTTTTTTATTTTGTTCACATTAATAAATATTTCTCTTTTCTTATCATACAACTTTGATTCCCCTTTCAGTCATATACAAGTAGTCAATAATAGTGCCACGTGCAACACGCTACCATTACCATATATCAGTTTAGTAATTTGATGATCTTGACTCTACTTTCTCTTAGTTTATTTTGGTATTGTATTGATGGAATTGTATTATTTTTGTCATCTTTATTTCGTATTGTACTTGTCATACCTTTCGTTTGGCTCACTATTGTATATTTACTGTATTTATAACTGTATTGTATAATTTGTAAACATGAACAGTTTTGGTCCTTGGACCTTTGAATCATGTATATTTATATGTCTTTTTAAACCGAAATAAATAAATGAATAAATAAAACACTTAAAACACAAAGAATAACCAAAACATTTTACAACAGTATGGACAGTTTAAAAGCAAGTTGACTCAATTCTCAAACAATTCTCAGAAACTTGGCACAATGCTTGATGCATCCCTCCTCTCTTGTTAACATAAATTATGCTGTTGTTGGACAACTTAAATGTGCACATTGAATGCAACTCTTGTATTTGTTCCTTTTCTCAACTAAACCTTCCTCTTCCTCTCTCTTCTCCCCATCGTCTTCCCCCAGCTCGCCCCCTTTTTCTCTTTTCTTTGTAATTGGTTTCTTATTACCGTAAATCTTTATTATAATTTTGATTTCTAGGATAGAGAATGTAGAAAACAACTTTCCTGATTTATTTCACAAGATGTTCTTGGCTCAGACGGAAGAGATGGCCAGACGATGTGTTCAACCACCACTCAGAAAGAAACCAAAGTAAGACATATTCAGAGATGCCAACCAGTATGATTAAATCGTATTTAGTTCGATAATAAGAGTGAAATACGATAATACGATATCACCTTTTAAAATACAATTTTTTCAACAACAACAACAAAAACAAAAACACTTTTTTTTTTTTTTTTTTTTTTTTTTTTTTTTACCCATATAAACATAGAAACATATACAAGTAACCCCCCACAACCCCAAAAAAAACTTTGCTTTACAATTTTCTCATTAAATTTTAATGGAAGAACAAACATTTTACTTCACCGTACTTACCAGTAAAACATTTTACGGGTGGGGCCAGTGTGGTAGTGTCAAGTTTTCGTGAAAATCTGATTTTTCTCTCCAAAATATGATTTTGTTTTTTTTGTTTTTTTGTGTTTTTTTTGTTTAGGATACTCAGTCTGTTTTTTTGTGTCAAGAAGTTGGCATCTCTGCATATGAGATAATCATTATTGAAGATATTGAACAATAGAGCAGAGATGCCAACCAGTATGATTTATAGATTCACTCAGGCATGAATCGGGCCTGATACTTACCTGATTTAAATAGTAAACAACCAGCCTGCCATACTTAAATCCAACTTCTCTTCTTCTTCTTCAAGATAATCTGCCTCCTTCAATACTGAAGATTCTTGCAGATGCCGTATACTCGGCCAGATTGGGGTGTGCAGGTGGATCATTACACCGGGGTTTCCCCCTTCTCTTATACGAATAGTGCAGTGGGTTCTTAACGTGCAAAGGTAGTGACTCTCCTGTACACGGGGCCTCCATTTAACGTCCTATCCGAGGGACGGAGTGTTTTCCAC